TATTGTATATGTACACTTTTAGATTAACCTATCTATCTAAAAATCAACCTACGTGATCAACCAAAGATTTTCTTATTTTTGTTTAAAACGTTTATTTATGTAAGAAATAAATGTTGAAATAACGGACATCCTGCATATTATATATTTAATAAAATTTTCTTCAAGTGCTGCTGGATAGATCGTCGTATAAAAATCTGTCAGACTCTTTTTCTGAAATATAGATAAAACAAGGATCCCACTACATTAGAAAATATGTAAAAAAAGACTGATATATGTATGCACTGTTATTTCACTGTCATAGCTATGACGAAATATGTAACCCTATCTTTTACGTATCGTATCCGAAAATATCTCGAAGCAAATGAAAATTAAACATTTTTCGTAAAATAAACATTTAGAAAAGAAACAAAGAAATCTTTAATTGAACTTTTCTCCAAATCACCACGATCTTTTTATACCAGATGATTTAAAAGCATTTTTCAACAGTTATAATAGCAAAAGATTGGAAAACGACAATGATCTTAGAAAGTCGAAACAAAAATAATTTTATTGGAAAAGATCATGAATCATGATGTTTATAGTTTGTGAATTAAAGAAACTAAATTCTGACACATTTTTTTATATCAGCAAATATAATGAAGATATTGGGCAAAATAAAAGAAACACTCTAAACAAAAATGAATATCTTTTCAAATTAAAAAGAAATTGAGATTCCCAATTCAATTGAAATTAGAAAAAAATTAAGAAATATTTATAAAAATTATGTAAAATTTTCAAAAATAATGAAATCGATATCTGTTTTTAAAAGAACATCTTGCAACGTATAACTTTTTAATTTGTATATATTTTTGTAATCATTCCTTTAAAACCATGGAAATTGTGCCGTATAAATTCTCATTTTATCAAGAGGATTGGATCGCAATTATCTCGGCGAGAATTAAATTGATTACGGAAAAATTGCAACGCTGTAATTACAATAATCTGTTTAAATTGTTAATTGTCTAGAAGATATATAAAATTTATATCAAACGTGGTACGATTTACGAGAAATCCAATTTCTTTCTTTACCTGGTCGCCCATCCGTTTATCTCACGTATTTAATTTACGTGAGACGATCAGTTCCACGTGATATTCAATACGAATTACACAAAAGGGCAGGAAAATCGGAAGCATCAGAAAAGGTAGATACAGATAAGCGTAGAAAGTAGCAAAAGAGAGATATCAATCCTCAAGAGATAAACGATGAATTTCGTTATAAATAAAATTTTTTGACGTCCATACGGTCATTTGAATTTTCAAAATTTTTTAGAGAAAAAGTAGTCTTACTAGTACTCTTTTTAAAGTGATGTAAAAATATCTTTATCAAAAATTCAATATTGGCTCAATAGAGGGTTTACACTTTAAAATGAACCCAGGTGGATTGTTCTTTTTTCTTTTCTTTTTTTACAGTTGTAACAATTTAAAATATCAACAATTTTTAATCGAAAATATTCTATCAAACGGAAACATCATAAAACAATTAACATGGGTTCATTTTAAAGTGTAAAGCTTACTTTCACAATACTTCCGAGTTCTTTCCTTCCAAAGATATTTTTATCATTTTGAAAGGATGTAAGTAAAATGTACTCTTTCTTTCGAAAATTTTGCAAATAAACATCTTCATGAGTACTAAAAAAATCTTTTTCTTAACCGAATTCACTATGGTTTTGGATATTGAATTCTCTTCTTTATAATAATTCTTTTACGAATATATTATAAACGTTTAATATATCAATAATTTTTCGTCAAGAATATACGAATACTTTCTACGCGAATTATATTATAGATACAAGCGGGATTGGTTTATAATGAACCGATAAAATAGTGTAATATCCATCAAAAATATCCAACCAGCAATCGTTTGTTCTTCTATTTGATGTTTAATCCGATTTCTATTTCTTTATTCAGACTTACCTGCAAAGCAACAATTTTTCTACATAAAACAAATTTTTATATCGCAATTCAATACCAGATTTTTTTTTTAATCAATGTAATTCCCAATATTTTAATTTCTTGTATGCAAAGGAAACTGGAAAAAACGTTATTCGTCGGTTTATTGGTTTTCCCTATATCTGCTGCTACTGTTAAAATTGATTTTTCAAATACGAGATGATACAGGAAATAAATAAGTTTCGAAGTAGTAAAACAAATTGTGCCAACAATTTTGTTGATGCTCGGAACATTTTAAATCGCGAATTAAATTAATCGTTATTTTATTTTATTAAATTTAATATTAAATTTAATTAATTTAAATATGAGTTGCAAACATTACTGTAATTAAATGTAATTACATAGAGATTATAATGTATTATAGTATATATAACATTTATCTAGTTTAAACGCGTTCGTACTTTTGGGACGCTTTTCTTATTTACGATTGGGGTGACGGCGCGCCTTACATTTATTTACGCTACTGGACGAGCATCGTTGTCTGAAACGTAACCAGTGTCCTGGAATTCGATTAAACGCTAGAATAGTAATCACACATCTACCAAGGTTGCGCTTTAAAATTTCCCGATGTGATAACATACCCGTGGTTTTCAAGTGTTCAAAATAAATTAGCGAGGGAAATTAGTTCTAATTGCAGTCATATTTCCTTACAATTTCCCGGATTTCTGCATATCAACGTGCGTCTTTATTTTTAAATGTAATTTTCAATAACAGACAAACAAAAAAGCCCATTTTTTTTCTACAAAATTCTCGTTCGGTTCATTTTATTCCCTGATGAGTATTCGGTATCGATACGTGTATAGGGGATTCGTAGAACCGTTCTATTGGATGCCAATGGATTTCAGTGGTGAGTAATTGTGCCAATATTTTCTAGCGAGAAGAATTCCGGTTGCAAATTCCCAGAATACGAATAAATATTACTTTATTTTTCTCTTGTTTTTATTCCTGGTAAATATGGTCATAAAAAAAGATCGAGCAACAAGCTTGGTTTTCAAGAATGAAAATTGACCGTGTCGTATTCCAACGAAATTGACACGCGCCAATCGCGCGGTAAATGTAATCCTGTTTTAATAATCGGAAAATCTATATTATAATGAGAATTACATACACCGCAGGGAAACAACATAAACAATATACTCGATATTTGGCGTATGTAAAATATGTAATTAATTTAATAAAAGTACACAATGTTTGTATTTCTTTTTCCTTTCTCTCGCGAAATTGTTATACCCAATTATTCGTATTACGACGAAAACCTGTAATTCACATTGTTATCGTTTTCATTTATTTTCACGTTCCTTTCTGTTCTTAATCTCTGTACGAAATAAATTTTCGGGAATGGAAAACAATAAATTATTTTTGCTTTTACGTTCATGTGTGTTTTCTTATACAACGTGTTTTAATATAATTTTCAAACAAGTTTTATGATTTAATGAATATAATGAATAAAATGAAAAAAATGAAAATACAGCAAAGAGCATTAAGAGAATAAATAACTGAAATAATAAGTTATTTATTAACAAATTACAATAATAATTAATTATTTAACAAAAATAATTTAAACTGTTATAACTTTGCGAAAGAAAATCATATAACAATCTATTTGATCTCATTTTAACGAATAAACTTTCTACTTTAACAGTGCTGAGTTCGTTTTTTTTTTTTTTGCAAAGATAACGTTACATCATGTAACAAGTGGGAAAGTGAGGATACTTTTCTTTCGAAAATTGTAAAAATTCTAACATTTCTAAAAATGTTGGAAAATTTGTTTCGATACATCGTTTTGATAATTCCCTGTATATTATAATTTCCTCCTGTTTACAACAAGCTCTTAGAAGTTACTATACGATCTTTTTCAGCATTTTATTAAACTTTGAATATTCGGATGAAACGATAAAAATTCAAGAAATCCTAACATTTTATCATTTTATCCTAATGTTCAATAAAAAAATCATACAGCAGAGTTTAAGAGATCGTTGTAAAGAGAAAATTTCAGATCATAGTGGACCTAATCATGAACAAAATGTTTTATTATTTTTAAAGACATTTCTGAATTGTTACAATTTTCGAGGAAAAAATATCTTTACTTTTAAATTGTTTACCGTAATGTAAAATTATGCTTTGGAGGAAACGAATTTAAGATGCTGAAAATAGAGGTCTCAAGTGGATTGTTACATAATATTTTTTTTACGAAGAATGGTCGACAATTTTTCATCATTATTAATATAAGTTGTGCTCTTCATTGTAATTACAAGCATAACTATTGAATATTGATTTTAAACTGTCATCGTTTGAAGATTAAAACATGAATTAAGCGATGACAGCTAAAACTTAAATTATAAATTATGAATTTATTAATAAACTAAATATAAATAAATATTTATTAAATCTAATAATTATCAATTTATTATTAAATAATTATCAATTTATTAATAGATAAAAATTTATTAATAAAATTTTATCAATTTATTAATAAAATTTAGAAATTATGCTAAATTTCGAACAACGATTTACACTATTCCTACTACCATGCTTTGTACCTCCTACTACCTACTCCATAAGGCACTTATTACCTGTTCCCCACGCAGGTACAAATAGACTGTCTTAGACGTTTAACCATCATTTGACACTTAAATTTCAACTCCTTGACATCGAGTTCTTACTCCATTTCAATAGATACAAGTGAAATTTAAATTACGTGACGTAGAATAGGCTTTAATCGTATGTAAATTGTGTGTTGCTAATTTGAGAAAATGAATTAAATTCTTGACGATAAATTCAAGTGTAGAATATTGCAGTAATTTGAGAGTAGTGTTTCAAATTTCAAACGTTTCATTGCAAAAACACGAAATGAAAGGCTTCTTGCAACACGTGCTAATTAAAAACAAGGTCGGTTCTTTGACATTTCTCTCCTATTGTCTGTAAAAACTTCACCGTTCTTGGACTGCTTGATAAGGAGCAAAAAATTGTATTAAAGCATTTGCAAATTTATCTCTTTCACTCTGTTATAGCTGAACATGGAGGAAAAAAGCGAGCAAGAGCAGCAAAAGAACGAGACAGAAAGGTCAGGGCTTACGAAGGAAAATTGGATTAAGAAGGTTGGGAATTATTCACCGCACAAGTGCCAAGTTCCAACCAGTCCTACAAGGACAAATGCGACGAAAGCCGTAGATAGAAGTGGGCTCTGCAACACCTACGAGGCTATTACTCAACAGACAACTTCAGGATCCTCGCAGGCACCTCTAGAGGAGCCGGATTTGGAGGGCATTATTCGCGAATTCGAGATGGGTTTCCTCTCGCCTTCGAAACAGGATGGAGCGACTGACGGAACGTCTACGAAAAAGAACTTCGTCAAGAAGATCGTCGCGGCATTCGAGGTGAAATATAAGACCGTGCAGGCGACTGGAGAAAGCCACGAAGAAAATAAGTCACATGCCACCATCGCGGAACCGTCGAAAAAAAAATCTGGAATATTCTGCAGTCCCTGCAAGAGGAAGCTCGAGGTATCCTTTGAAAAACTCTCGCCTTTGAAACAAAATAAGAACAGTGACGAGTGTGGAAATAGTTCAATGATTTTCAAAATAAGATCTGGAATATTTGACTCCCCGTACAAAAGTGAGGACAAAAAAGTGACTGATCTTTCCGATATCTCGAAAGATGAAACGAAAGAAGAAAAGGGGGAATCGTCGAAGGAATCAGGAATATTCTCGCCATCATTTAATTGCAACGACTCTAAGAACGCAAGTTCATCGGTAATCCATTCGAGTACCATGGATTTCCAACGCGAACGTTCGAAGGATTCCAGTTCCGATTGTTCGATGCTCTTTAAGTCCGACAAAGAAGAGTCCGATCGGGCAGCTAATTTTCATTTCAGCTCCCTCGACGAAACAAAGACAATCGATTTTGATCGCATCGATCTTGACGTGACTTCACCGGAAACTGTTTTTGTAACTGACATTGCGCTTCCAAAAACAAGTACCATGAGCAATAAATTCTCGAAAGACAAGGACGATGCGATGATCCAAAAAATTTCATGCAAGATAGTCGGGGCATTCCTAAAGAAACCAATCGAAGTCGAGGACACTTCCATCAACTGGATACCTATCGTCGGAAAAAAACTGCCACGGAAGAGATCGCTAAAGAAGCTATTCTATTCATTGACCAGGCGAAAATTCAATGAAAAAGAAAAACTATTCTGTTCGGAAATAAATCTGGGCGAGGAACTGCGAGAGTTTCAAGATTCCGGTTACGACGAGAAGTCTTGCGCAAATTCATCTTTAACTTCCCTACTTTCCTTCACGGAGGTTCTACTTCGGCAAAAAAATAATCACATCGAATCTAATAAACGAAGCACTTTGCAAACCTTCAAACCGAAGAACAAATCGGTTAAAAAAGAGAACGAAGTTTCCTGTAACACGAATCATTCTTCAGGGTAAGCTGATATTCCTATATAATACTCATGAACCTTTGTCATTATATTTGATCTCAAAGTAATTAAAACTAACGCTTCTATTCATATTACAGGACACAGGAGAAAAAATTGGTTTTAAGTGAGATTTCTCGGGAAAAATTGAAACAGGATCTTGGTCCGTGTTATCCTTCTTCGAACATGATGTCGTTGGCTCGAGAAAAAGATTCCAGCCCGTCTCCAGTTAATGAATCTTTGACCAATTTATCAAAATTACCAAAACATCCTTGCAGTTCGAAAATTCCAAAGCATCCATTCGTTTCCCTGACGAAGATGGACGAGTTAGAATTTTGTTTCAATAGTTATGATTCGTCATCAATGATCATTAAAAACGATCTGTATGAGGTAGAGCTTCGAAGAAACTGCGACGATCTACCCTCGCCGAGTAACTTTTCGTCTACAGTCAGCGACTACGACGTCCCTAGGACATTCTTCTCCGAGAACCAACTATACCAGTCGACTCTGAAGAGGGAGGAAGAGCCGATTTACCAGAACCAACTATACCAGTCGACTCTGAAGAGGGAGGAAGAGCCGATTTACGATGTTCCGATGCCGCAAGGTATCGAGAGACCCAAGTCCAGCATTTACGAGAATGTCGTTTCTTTGAAACGATGGAACGCCGAGGACAACTTCAAATGTCACTATTTCGAGCCCAGCTTCGAATGTCACTATTCCGAGCCCAGTAATAGTAAAGTTTCCTTCAACAACAAGACGCTATCGTTGGATGACTTGACTCTCGGAGAGAAGAGTACCGCTTTTTAATGTTAATTAAATCTCACGCGAGTGATCATTCAAGTGACAAATTCATTAATTTCAAGATGAAATTGGATCTTGGACACTTGTTGAGATATAGTGTAATTATTATACTATATACAATGCGTTATACTAGTACTTTTGACACGAATTATTTATAGATTTTAATGTTGATGATGCTGTTCAGTATCTCTGGAAATAACTTGTAACGAACTCGACGGTAGAAATATTTTTATGAATTTGAGATATAAATAATTAAGACGATTATTTTATCACTTTTTAGATTTATATGTATGTTAAGTCGAATGTTTCAGATACATGTGTAGAATGAAGTTTATCAAATGCACAGCTTTTTAAATGCTTCTAGTATTACGTAAACATTTCACAATTGTACTTGTAAACTGTGTTCTCTTGCCGTGTGACAATCTCGTATATTTCGTAAGAAATATTTCATGAGATCTTTTGAAAATGCATTTTTCTTCTAAATAAATTTTGTACTTTGGTTAACTCAATTTTGTATTTTAAGTAAATCACGTCAACCATAGAACTATCTTTCGCGACATTCGAAACATAAGCGAATTTTTAATTATGAAAGAAACAGAAACTCTAAATTGGTTGAAATTATAAAAAGTATTAAGTCTTACCATTTTTAATAAAAGCGTTCTTATCCAGATTTTTATTACTTGCGAAATACTTTAGATCTTGAAATTGTTTGTTAAAGCTCACTCCCTTTCGTTTTCGACTGGAAACGTTAAATGAACATGAGTGTAAGAAACTCTGGAAAAAAATAGTCCGTTAAAAAGATAAAAAGAAAAAAATGAAAGTTTACGTAATCTGGCGTTAAAAAGATGTTTACAAAGAATTCGAATACGGTATTAAATGTATCTTGTGATTTTAAAATGTATTCGTATTACGTATTTGTATCATACATCGAATTGTAAAAGCAAATACGTAAACATAATTATTTTAATGTCCTTATGGTATAATTTAAACTACTTGTAAATACACTTGTTTATGACGTAGTATATTTTCAACAAAAATGCTCGTTGTAAATCTACTACGTTATAAACAAGTGTATAGAGTATCCTTTCTTTAATGAGACGTAAAATTTCCCCATAATGCTTTTGGATTTCGAATAATCTGATTCGATTGTCGGGAAAGTCATAATAAACCAAATTTAACCTTAACTCTTATTTTTCAAATAACACAAAAATTAAAAAGAGAAAAAAAATAGCACATAGTTTAAAAAGAAGACTAATTGCAAATAGAAGCAAATAGTCGACAGCGAAAACGACAGGCAGAATTCAACATCGTACTGAAAATTTTTCATTAATATTTTAAAAACTAATGAATATCCGAAGCTAAAATTTTATATTTTAAAATTTATATGGATAACTAGTGCTTTTCGGAACTAACCTAAATTAATTTTACCAATTTACAATGGTTTTACATAGATCTAATGGTAAGTATAGTTTTGTAAGAAATTTTATGCTCTTTTGATTGTTTGATAACAGTCAAATTAAAATATAATAACGATTTAGATAATATTTATTATTTGGAGGTTTTCATTTCTCATATTAGGCTTATAGTAGATGCTTGCACGCCTAATGTAGAATATCACATAATATCAAATTTCTTCTGAAGATGAGAAGAAGAATATGAATAAGTTTAATAAAAGTAGAACATAAATAAATAAATTTATTATTGAAAAACAAAATTTATCGTTTTTCATACAAAATTAGACAAAAAAGTAATTATCAACAAAAACTAATTAATATTTTTAAACTAACATCAGCATTTTGTTTTAGAATAATAAATTATTATTGATAAAACTACATTTTAAGCAAGTGAATGTGATATTTTGTTTCTTTTTCTGCTTTTTTTTATAATAAATGGAAGTTTATATTATTTTGTCGTGTTTTACTCTACAATAAGTCCTCTTTAATTTCCCATCAGTTTTAATTATATGCAATAATATATTTTATACTTTTTTAAAACATGAATGTTTTTTATAACTTCCGTATTAGTGTCCCATCAGAAACTAATTGCCAGGAATTGTGTATTAAGAAAATCATTTTGCGTTTTTTATAAATAATCGCGTAATAAAAATAAAGCTGATGCGCTTATCTTGTTATGTGATTTTGTAAATAATTAATTGTAAATAGTACTTCTTTATAGCTTCTGCCTATGCTTACTAGTTGAAACAAATGACAAACATAACAGATTGTATTTACTGCCAATAGATAGCAATGTCAAGATTCTTTAATGTCGTGGTATTTCAGAGTATCCCGAATTTAAATTTCAAAACTTCGGGAGCGTGTAAAAAATCGATGAACTAAGGAGAAAAGTTCTTTATAAATTGCTCGTTTTTGTTCTATTTTAGAGAAAATCACGAAAAAAGAAAGAAAAATGTTTTTATTTTCTCACTCATTTAGTGAGTTTATTTGATACCAATCAACTCAAGAGAGAACAACTAACATAAGAGAGTTTGATATATCAAAACATCAGCTACAATCAGAATAGTCAATGTTCGATCTAATATTTATAAATATTTATATTACATTATAAATTATATTTATATTATATTTATATTACATTATAAATTATATTTATATTATAAATATTTATAAAATATTAATTTATAAATTATATTTATATTAAAATATTTCGCGTTATTGCGAAAAATTAGCATTTTGAACAATATATTTATTAAACAGGTTATACAGAAGATAATAAATGATATTACAAGATGATAATAGACAATAACACGAATAAGTGTAAATAAATAAATAAATGAGAAACCAAAACTTTTTTGTCTTTCTTTTCTCCAAAATGGAACAAAAACGAGCAAATCTCTAAAGGACTTTTTTTTTAGTTTTTCAGTCTCGTACATGCTCCTGAAATTTTGACATTTCAGTTTGCGATATCCTGTATATTAAACACATATTCCCTAGTGCAACCTGTTATTCATAGATACGTGTAACTATTTTACATATAGGAAATGACATTCTATCTTTGAATAATCTAATCATTATATGCAACTATTTATTTACTTCAACATCGATTCGATAAAATTTCTGAAATTAGAAAAAAAAATTGATATTATCTCATACATATTTATATATCTATACATTGGTAAGATAATTGAGATTTGGAAAAAGTAAAATTAACTTGCGTATTGATTCTCAGATTAGCAATTCCGGCATTCGTTTTTTTGTTAGTAGTCTCGACATCGTTTACAAGATTTTTCAGTCAGGTCACAGTTCAATACAGGGTGGAAAAATTTATCGACAAAATCGGTTATCTGGAGAGATTAAACTGGTCCTTGTCCTTGTTATTTCGTGAAGATGAGAAGAAAGATTCCGGAATTGATCCCACGAAAGTAAATGTCTTAAAGCTGATAGGATCATAACGATAAAATCTTAATCATGGTAGGTAGAAAGGCAAAATGACGTAGAAGCTCGTATGCAGTGAATACAACGCAATGGTATGACGTGGATACTAAGCGTGGGTCGTGATAGCTAACCTTTACAGCATCACTGCCACTATGTACATTTGAACGCAACGAAATACACGTAGGTTGCTAGTGGTGGGTACACGTGTCAAGGCCTGTGAATTTTCGGTGCCATCGATATTTTATGATTCCCGTCACAGGAATACCATTGTGCTCGAAATATCTTCATATTTCGTCGAAAGTATATCAAACTTTAAATAATATAAGATTAATATTTTCGAAAGAAATAGGAGAATAAGATCAATTTTAAGAGAAGAGAATAAAATCAAAGGGTATGAAGAGTTAGATAAACGTCGATCAATGATGATGTTGAACTATCTCGCGATTAATGTGCAAGTTGCATGGCTTTCCGGTAACGATAGATGAGAACATGCATGGAGACAGATTTACGAGCCTGCGTTACGAATTACATGTACATACATACATACGTCTAGATGTCTCAATAGCAATGTTGTAGTTCAGTTATAAGTTACGTGTGTTTGCGAGCAAGCATTCTTTCCTTTCGAAATTGAAATGAAATTCCCGTGAACGCAACCGAATAAATGTAATTAATTATCTCAAATGAATAAATAGTTAACAGTCTCCTTCTTTGCAGTTTCTTCCAACGAAATTTTTAACTAATCTGTGCGAACTATTCAGGGAATATTTAGCTTTTGGAAAAGAAAAAAGTTGGAAAAGAAAAATGTTGAATATATTATAAGTTATACCTAAAGCTGGTCATTCGTAGCAACCATTAATTAACGGATTGTAACTGGGAATCTATAACCGTTTTAAACAGACCATTGGATATTGGTATAAATTGCATTTGGTTTTGGTTGTCAATAAAATAATTGGACGAATCGGGTTGTTTGAGTTGCATCGGTTCGCCAGCAATTGATACCAATTAATTAGGGAACGACGTTTCAGAGGCCATTTACGTCGATTGTTTCGAGGCAAACGAAGATACACGAGCAGATGCTGATTGACAATTTATTTTTATTGAATTTCTTGTTTGTATCGGCGAAAAGCTGGCATAATTTGACGAGCGTTCGCCTATATCGATTAACCCACCCACGAAAGTTAATTAAAGCAGGCTCACGTCATCTCGCTATCTCTTTCTAATTTATCGAATCGTTTACCATCGCTTCTCTGATTGATCATATTAATTCACGTTAATTTACGATCGGTGTGGAATGTGAATCGAACCTAACAATTTCATTTTCTTGGCTTCTTAAATAGCATTTCGTACCTGGTTGACAATGAAGGAAAAAGTTGAAAAGAAAAAAGAACAAAGTCCAAAATCTCAAGGCCAAAATCTTTTGAAAATTAAAATTTATGGAAAGCTGCCGGGAAATACGCAGAGAATTATCCGACTTCCTTCGAAAATTATCATTTGTTTCAGCCGAGGGAGAAGCAAACCTGTCCTAGCTGTATACAACTTAAACAGATTAAATTTATTACAACTGCTCTTCAGCTTTCGGAAAACTCGAGGGTTAAAGTCCCTCGTTACTCGTGTTATATTGGTCTCTCCTTTAAAATTTACTTTGCCATCTTTGTTCTATGACAATACGTTTCTTACCTTAATTTGTAAAATTTCAAGAGGCACTATTTACGTGAATTTTGTCTAGCAAAATTAAATTATTTTCTAGGTATCGAAAGTTGAAGGTACACTATATCCAGAAGTTGAAACAACACAGGAATGAAGAAAGAGAAATTGTTCTATTCAGTGGCGATTCGTGGCTTAAAATCGCAGAGATGCAACTTTCGAAATATACATGCACGCTAAATACTAAATGGGTTTTTATTATTTTTTATATAAGATAAGAGAACTGTATAGGATTATTGATGAAATATTAAATAATATAATAGTAATATATTAACATATTTATAATAATTATAAAATTATTATAAATATGTTAATATATTACTATTATATTATTATATTAATATGAAATGTTAATTATAAAAATAAATATTACGAGCAAATATAAATAAATTAATAAATCGAGAAAAATCGTGCTACAGTTCCACGAGTGGCCCTTATCTTATATTCCTAGTTAATATTTTGAGTCAACGTTTACGCTAATGTCATTGTATCTCTTTATTGTATTTTGTTTCTTTATGTGACGAACTTTATGGACCAATAATGACAATGTATCTAAATATTGACGCGTTACTCTCATGTTACAATTAACCAGATGATACGAGTAGACAATTCGCTTTTCCCTTGTCCTCTTTTAACTTGTGGATGCACCAACGACTCATCTTCCCATTAATCGCACAGTCTTATCTTGTCAATGAGGAAAAATTGTTTGTGTCAAATTTCGTATTTTATTTTCATAATATTCAATTTTTTTAGTCATCTAAAGACACAGAATTATTCAGCGATATAAAATATACTCGAATCTAAATTAATTAACATGTAAATAAATACAATGACATGGAAATATTTTTTATTAATCATTGTAACAGAAATATAATGTATTTAGTATTTTGTTTTTGGTATTTAAAAAGTTGCCAAAATGAATAAAAAATTACCGTAGAGTAGATTAAAATAGAAAGAGGTTGGGAAATATGTTTTGCTAAATTTGTATTTCAACGCTAAATTCAACGAGGAAGAAGCCAATTGAAGCTTTAATCCGAAATTAATGTTAATAATAATAGCTACCGAAGGAATAAAATGTTTAATAAAATGAAACACGAATTCCGTGGAGACTTTAATGGAGTTACACCTGTAGAAGAAAGAATTGGCATGCAACATCTGTGATTGCGTACAGTAGGAAAGAAAAGAAAGTCAATAGAACGAAAAAGCAATTTTCCAGGTTGATGGCCTAGAAAATTGCTACAATGTGTCTATTGTCTCAGTGTCCGGTGTCAATGATTTTTTTTTTTATTCCCTTTTTATTCCTGATTGCACCAAGATGGTCATCCCTTAAACTTTACTTACCGACATAAAGATTTTTATTCTTTTTATCAATTTGTCCATAATCTCAATTCTAATTCCACCGCATGCGAGTTGCACGTGTGACTTTTGTATCAATTTCATGTCATATCTTTGATTATTTTTTTAATAATGATTTCTATGTTTATTTAAATCATTAATCGATTATATTGTATTTTTCTATCGTTAGAAAATTTAAGAGTAACAAAAAAAAAAAAAAGAAAGCATTATAGAATACACGATTTCTCGTTTCAGGTTTATACTACAGACATCTTTAAGTTGTTATCGAAAATTTCTTTTGATTGAAAGATGGAAGATTTGATTGAATTAACTGCACACTCGAAGACAGATCTCTCTTAAAGATAAGTTCAGAGTACGATAATATCATTTCTAGTGATTTCGCTGGACTGATGAAAATCGCTACAAATAACATTCATTTGTTACCATTCGTCTTTCTTCATTTTGATTTCTCTTCTTCGAATAAAATTGTTAAAATTGCTTGCTGCTTAAAGATCCAACTGAATCAATCGTTCTCCTTTAAAATTCCATTTCCGTCGAACTATCATATAATCGTTCTAATATACATGAACGCACATCATCATCATCATTGTATCGATTATTATTATACATGTATTAAAGATAATTTTTCGATATACATGGATTAATATTTTTTTTATAGAGAATAACTGTATCAATTACATAAAGAAATATGTAGTTCCATTTGAAAAAGGTGGAGGTGACTTTCATATAATCTCTATGCGTTTATTTACAAAAAAATTATTTACATCAGATTATGATCATCTCGAAACCATTTATTTCATATCTAAACTACATTTTCGTATAATAGATAGTTTACGAGTAATTTTTGAATTTAATAGATTATATACGTGTACAGGATGTCTCATTTAAATATCTTTCTTAATTGTAAGAGGATACAAAATATTTTATATTAATTTTTTATATTTATTTTATCATAATTTGAATGATACTAAATGGCCAATGTTGTGCAGAAATTTTTTCAAAAGTTGTTCTTTTTTTAAATTTTCAAAAGTCATCAATGTTCTTTTTAAATAATTACATGTTTCTTCTGTTGCCTCTCTTTCTCTCTCTCTCTCTCTCTCTCACTCTCTCACTCACTCACTCACTCACTCTTGCGTAGAGAGAATTCAAACTTCACAAAAGAATTCAAACGTATACTATAATGTGAACCCCAAAATGAAAGTTGAATCGTAAAATTCATACCTGGAGAGAATGCAGACTTTGCTAGAGACGAAAGAATATCCAAGATGATTTGGTCATGAAATTTACAAATTTGCAATTGGTCACTTATCACTTACTTTTATTTTAATATTTCATTTTAAATGTTCAAACTGTTATCTTTCTATGGTAATATATTGTTTAAAATGAATCACCACTTATCGTAATACGAAGTATAACCCCCATTTTCAGGATTAAAGATTACATCATAATACATCTGAATGTAGTTTTTCACCAACTATGTAACAGAAAAAAGATATAATTATTTGAAAAAAAAACATCGATGACCTCGAAAATTTCGAGAAAATACAATACATTTTGAAAAAGACAACGCTTGCCAACGTATACTGATCATCTAATACCATTAAATTACGCATTAAATATTTTTGCGCCCCTTGTAACTGAAAAAGAAGATCGTTGTATCTTATTGAAATGTATTTACTCTGCATTGCTATTGATTAGTTTTTACTTACCTATCCCGTGAAAATGCAACAAAGAGGGAAACGTTGCACCTGGTCACTGTAGCCAGAAAATTTCTATCGGGTGCGAGTTTAAATTCCAAAAAAAGTTCTAAAATTGATTCCCTTTTCGTCAATACGAATACAATTTCCATGCAAATGAACAAGCATATAGATCCGGTGTTACGTGAAAAGTCTGCCTGTACTACTTACCGAGGGGAAAGTAGTTTAGAGTAGATATGGTCCAACAGGCATGAATACATGAAAAAATTGTTTGTTGAAAAGTGGTCCGTAACGAAAAGAAAGATTTTATTGTATCCTTTAAAACGTTGTTCCGTGTTTTCCTCGAGTTCAAGTTGAGGAAAATTGCAAAAGGATTATTAGATATGTCGACATCATTCCAAGAATCTGCAAACAATCGCGAAATATCTTTCTTTTGAATTACAGATTTAAACGAGTCGTTAACCGTCTCGTTTCTATTAAAATGCCAATTAAAAGTTGGAACGTAATGAGGAATGAACGATTTCATTTTGCACTCGAAACGACTAGATTGTCGCGTTTCAAACTGTCGATGAAGTATCTACTCGAAATTGGATGAACTTCGCGCAGGGCCATTACGAACTCGTTTCAGCGTTGAAACCGGAAAATCGAGAAGTGAGTTACAATATCCTCTCGGAGGCTTTTCCGCAGTGCAATTTACGATAGTACCGGCAACATTTGAGAACCATGATTATTAAGCGAAATTCAATTAATCTTTCGTTTCGGTGTGATAACAATTTTCTTCAAGTTGTTTCATGTATAGAAAGGAAGAGAGAGACTGGTTGCATCGTCTGCGATTAAAGCTTCCTCTTCTCTGGAAAAAATAAAAAAAATACATTTACCGAAGTGAGCAATGACAATTTGATGTCGAAGAAACCACCGGCGGAAAAACGAAGTCGTCTATTCAGAAAGTGCAGCGTACGAAAGCTATCCTGTAAATAGATTCAATAGTTAACGATTGAATAATTATACTTGATCGTAAATCAATACGGATTTATATTCAAACACTCGCATCATATGGAAATCTTCTGACTATTCTTGCGTCCCAATCAATAAGGATCACAGGCATGAAATTAGCCTGAAAAATTTGCAATTTTCCAATTAAAGTTTCTAGGAAACGTTATGATTCAATGGAGAAAATTGTGATCGACATTACCTCGGTTGTCGTATAGTCACAGGCAATGTGAAGGGCCAAAAGCTGCATTATAAATCCGACCAGCCAACACCACATGTTGGATATCAAAAGCCAACTCATGCTGGTCCAGTTCAAGATGACCCAATCAATGATGAAGTACAGATTGCTGATGGTGTGTATACTCAAATTTGCAAGCCAGAAGAATAGCGACCACGAGTAAATGGAACCTAGCGCCTCGCTCGATAGCATCAAGTCGTTGTACAACTCCTGGATAGTCTTTTCGTCGAGCAAACATGAAAGCAATTTTACGGCGGGAACAAATACAGCACGATGTTGAATTAGTGTATGATACGCACCTTTCTGCTGACTCTGCTACTTTTGTATCCGACTCTTGGGGGTAAATTCTCTTTGGCGATCTTGTTCAACTGGTGAAACCGTTGACCAAGGAAACTCACCATTCCGAAGAACTTGTAGGCGGATGCCGCGGTGCCGACGTAAAGACACATATAGCTCGTATTAAACAACCAAGTTTCGTCAAAGGCATACATTCCAGTTTGATTAACGGCCGTCCAGACAATAATTTGACTGAAGAGAAAAATCCACGTGGCTATCTTGGTTTTCGCCTCTTCGCGCGGATAGCCTAGTTGGCTGAGTCTCTCGTCGAAATCCTGTTGGGCATTCCAAATTCGGCTGAACGCTTTCCTCGTGAATATCGTCAAAACGAGATCGTACATAGCGACGAGATAGTTGACTGTTACCTGTGTTACCATTAATATCCGATAAACATATATTCTCCGAGAATATATCGTCTAGAAACCGTTTATACGACTGAGAAAAGCACTGGAATTACCTTAGTAGTTTCGACCACGGTAAGAATCGCTCTGTCTCTGTGCAACGAAATGAATCTTAGGTAAACGATGTATATAATGTGACAATAAATAGCCATAAAAGCGAAGGTAAATACGAGACAGCAATTCGAAGGAGTTAACTGATCGGCCGTGAAATCGTAAGGTGCTAAACCAAACACTTTCATTGTGAAAACTACCGGGTAAATCGCCGAGTACAGTAACGAGTCTGGGCCGTGAAACTTTTTCACTCGAGTTTTTTTAGCTCGTTTCACTTCTTCCAGCATAGTTTCAACGTCGAATGGCTTCACCTGTGTCTTTGACGATGGAACTTTCCTCTGATGATGCATCAATTCCTTTTGAATGAACTTCAAAAAATTCATTTTTCTCGACAATAAAATGTTGCTGTTTTTTCACGGGAATTGTCAACTGCAAGAAAAGTATGCGCGTTCAAAGGAAGGAAATTCAGTAAATATACACACATGTACGTGCGTCGATTTCTAATTGCAACTTTCGTATTGCGAAATTTCGCGAGAGAAGATGCCCGAATGGTTGATCAATTACAATCAAAATAAACTCGAGACAAATTGCGTGTAGCCTAACCGGCAGCTACTGTTTTCTCTGTATATCGATTTGAAGTATTAATAAAAGTAAAAAAATTGTAGGAAAAAAATGTTTTGTTTTTGAACCAATTCAAGTGAACTCGTATCATGCGTGTAAAACCATTTTTCCCTTTGATTTATTGCTCCATCGCCGATCATTTGTTTGTTAACCGTATTCGATACATGAAATGCTTTCCCATTTATTCTCTGCTCACCGTATCGCAATCGTTTGCAACAACAATTTAATATTAAGAAGAACTGGTTATGAGAAACGAAATAGAATCCCGTTGGCTATTAAATTAAAAATCAATGCAAATATTTATATCCCCAATTATTCAATCGCTTAACAACGGGTTAATAATTTAAAATATAATTGTTAATATATTAGGGCTCAAAATTAATATAATTATTGATAATAAAAATAATATTATTAAATAATAAAATCGTTTTAATAAAAAATTATTTAAATTTATATATCTAATTATATTGAAGAAATAAATATAAATAAAAATAATAAAACAATAAAATTTTATAATTTATAATTAAAAATATATTTATTTTATTGAATTTAATCTTACAATATTTCATTCTAAAATTAATTCATAATTAAATAATATAAAATATATACTAAAAAATAATATAATTAAACTAATTAATAATAATAAAATTCTAAAAACTAATATTTTTATAATAATTTAAAATATATAAATATATATCTTTGAAATCACAATTCAATATTTTAACTAAACTATTTAAATAAATTATTAAATTTAAATATATTTACTGGAATCAAATGAATTAATAAACTTAAAAAATTCATTAATTTACAATTATAAATCTTAAAATTTATAAAATATTTTCCATGTATAATAAATCTAAATAGATATACCGAATAAATAAAAGATAATAAACAATAAATTATTAAAATTATAAATAAATATTTAAATCAATAAATTAAACTTATTAATAATATAATGTCTCTAATTAAATTTAAAGAAAAAGAACGAATGAAGAAAACACTTTGCTCGTTACTCCTTAGGGAAATATTTTCGAATGCGAGGTTCGATCTGGCATTGAGAACAAACGAGTTCTCAATTAAAATTCGAATCGAGCTTATTCATTTTTTATTCGCAAAAATAACAATATTCAGTGAAAAATGAACGTGATGAATGAAATTTATGATTTGGAAACTCGAATAAAAGGTACGGATTGCACGGTGAAAAGTGGAGGATGCAAAATAGTCGAGGTTACCTGTCGCGTCGACGTGAGAGCGGCTTTTCGGCCACGAGGATGATGCGACTAAATTAAAAGAGAGATTGTATGGCACAATCACTTGGTGACGCGATGAACGGTCGAACGTTTCCGAGCAACCGCATAAATAACATCGAAAACAGAGTTTTCCATCGGCTGTGATAAAGTAGGATTAAGATCGTTAATCTAAACAGTACGTATGCGGTTGTATACGTTCGCAGCTGACCGACTTGTTAGAACGAGCAACGTTTTTCCAATCGTTGTTAAATTATGAATAATTTAATAGCCGAGTTCGAATAACAGTGGAATCTATCTTCCTATCGAGCAATCCAGTCGCATTGGTTATCCCACTTTTCTCGCCGAAGTGCTACAAATCACGAGCGATTTATCGATCTTTCGTCGGTAGATAACGAATGTTAGAAACTGTGAGAAACGATAATGTCACGTTAGTGTCACCCTAATCGCGTCGAATCCAAGCTACAAGCTAAACGACACATGTCTATCTCTTGTATGCAAGAATTGTAAACAGTTGGCTGTTCATTTCACAGCCATTTCATGTCACTCATTATCTGTCAATCTGACTCGTTCAATACGAGTGTATATATTTGTCCACTCGTTAATGATATTTTTTTACAGTTCGACAACGCTCGATAAAATTTATTTTTTACTCTCTTTTCTTTTACTATCGTTGATACTGTTGTATCTTCAATCACCAAAATTCACTGATTTGAATAACCGATGAACCTGTTCCCATCAGAGTGTTGCTAATGCGATGTACGAAAGCATCCATTAACCAGATTTCCTCATGGCTGATACTCGACCTCCGACTGTAATTTGCCTATTTATTTCTTTAACACTAGAACCAAAGTGGTCAGAATAATCAATTTATAATTTTCTATGAAAATATTTTATATACTTCTGACAGTGTGTTTTTAGATACTCGAGTGATTTTTAATCAATAGATATATTAATAGAAGCTTTTTTTATTCTTTGCTGTACTATTAACTTTTTCCTGTATCTTGCACTTTAATTTTAATTTCTTTGCTACGAATATCATACTTCAATCGGTAATGCTAGTGTTAATCTTATTTCCTGTTCATGAAATAAATTATTCTTTTTAAACGATTTGAATGTCATTAAAGTAAATGACAAACTAAGTAATTAAACGTGATTGATTTATTTCAATCAATTATAGTACAGATTGTCTCGTTTCTGTATCAGAATTTCGTGTTTGACTTCGATCGATCGCGAAAAATAAGAGGGAAAGGGGAAGAGAGAGAGAGAGAGAGAGAGAGAGAGAGAGAGAGAGAGAGAGAGAGAAGGACGGATAGGTGGTAATATAAAGTAGAGTATTAGATGAAAATTTACGATGGAAAGTGTCTCGTCAGGACGACGCCCCAGAGAAATGCAATTTAACTCGGCGTGGAAGATGAATGATATTCATCGAGCGGTCAACGCACGGCTCGCGCTACGCATATCCATGGAAATAAAAGCTGTTTTATCCCTCTTCTCTGAGAAATTGCTTTCGAAGAAGAGCTAGATTTTTTGCATAAATACTGTTCTCTACGTGTTTTCACGCTTTGGTACTCACTACCGAGCACCAAATTCCTTCACCGAGCTTACCAGTCGCTCGCTTTACAAATATTCTTTTAGAAAATTGCACACTTGCACAATAAATAAGAAATAACAATTAAGAACGATATTCTGGCGCGTCGTATTCTCAATCGACAGCACTTCTCTGAAAATGGTGCCAAACAGTCGCGTAGTTGAGAAACGAGAAACAATGTTCGATTGACAATCGAAAATCATCAGTGATCCTGACAGCTGTGTATGTCCTTTCAAGAAATATGTAACTTTAACCTTCGCGTATTAAATAGTAAATTGTCACCGATATTTTTGAATCAAAAGATCATTATGAAAACGATAAAGAAAGAATTGTTCGCATGGGTTTGTAAAAAATACGCAATGAATAGTTTCATGGATAGGCATCTGTTACGAAAAAAGGCTCTCGAACTGGCAAACATGCGTGGCTTTAACGGTATTTACTCACTGGTAATATATGTTATCTCTTTTTTTTTTTTTTTAACGCATAGAAAACTAATGGGCTATATCAATAATTGTAATTGCAAAGTTAAATTTTTTTGTTCTTGATATTGCTTCTGTTGATATTACGATATCAAAGATTCAATTACGATATTGTATGTAGGATTTAAATGCTCGGATAAATGGTTGACTATGTTTCTGAAAGAGTACGGCTTCTCTACCAATTTAATAAGTCAGACGGGCCCGATGTTCGCCAATTACCGTGACTGGATCGATCTGATGAGATCGACGATAAACAAGTACAGGCACAAGGATCTGTTTCATGTGGACGAGATGACCATGTACTCGGACATTTTCCCTTCGGAAATCTCGCCTAACGGAGCCGAAGATTCAACCGAGTTGCCGAGGAAGCAGATAACGATTTTAATGTGCTGTAATTCCTCAGGAACGACGAAACTGCCGCTCTTGATCTGCGGACCGTATTCGTCCAAGATAACGGTGAAGGAGCACGTTTATTGTCAGAGTGAGGATTACCGTATCGGGGACGAGCTGTTCAGAAATTGGCTGTCAGCCGTGAACGATCGTATGATAAAGTGTCATCAAAAAGTCTTGTTGTTTCTACGACATAGCAGAGCTCGTTCATTGAAGGATTTCATAGCGAGCAACATACAGCTCGTTTACTTTCCTGAGGATTTTCCGCCGTCTTTACGACCGTTGCGGAGAGACATTTTTCATTATGTCAAGATGGTTTTCAGACGAAGGTGAGTCTCGAGAGGAAAGTTTCTTGAAAACTTCGAACATCTGTGAAAAGAGTTTGCAAAAGTTCCTTAACATTCTTATTGAATTTCTTCTCTGTCAAACAATCGCGAAACGTTTGTTAAAGGTACGCAGAACGATTGAAGCAGTACACTGCAAAATGGGATCTTCGCAGCATTCTAACATCTTTGATCGAAGCATGGGAGTCGATACCACGGGAGCTGATAATTTTCAACTTTCAAAGAACGCGCTTTAGGACCGACGACTGTTTTCTCCAGATCAACTGCGATTTCTGGAACAGTTTGAAACTCGGTATCTCGTTCAAAAGATTCGTGACATTCGATGACGATCTCTCAGACAGACCAACAACGTACAAAAATATCGGTCGGTGTCACCGTTATAAAATCCCGAACTGCAAGAACGTTATAGAGATTAACGATGACCCTTTCAATTGTAAATTTGAGAATATAAATCAAAATATTAAAGAATCGATGATTCAAAAGCTATCGAATGAATCTGTTCGAAATCTTGAAACGATGCCTACGGATTTAAAAAAACATACGTCTGCCACGGTAACGAGTTACGAGAAAAGTTGTAACAATAACGCAAAGCATAGCAGATTGAAGGGAAATGCAATCAAAGCAAATAGCGGACAGGGAAAGTCCCAAAAGAGAACCTACAGTGATACTCAATTTTCTACGAATGGATGGAACGACAATCGATGTACGTCCAGACAGAGAAATATCGTGGTATCGAAAGATCTGAACGTTAATCCTTTGATATCGACCAGAGGAAAGACGTTGAGGGATAGGATATCTAAGGAAAGAAAGTCTTTCCAATCAATCACGGACAAAACATTGACTTTGTCGTCGATTTCGATCACGGAAGCTAATTGTACCAAAAAGTTAACGGATGATATTAATATGACTGATCATGAAATTATGACGAACCCTAACAATTTGGCACAGTTTAAATATTTAAATAATAAACATAACGACACAAAATTCAAGTGCATGAATCAAGAAACAGGGCGATCCATCTTCGATTTTTTGAATAAATTTAACCAACCATCCACCTCTACGAACAATTGGAATGTTCTCTCTGAAAAAATCGATCAAGGTACATCTCAACTAGAAGTAAAAGATCCAATCACAAATGACGAGAGCAGCTTGTCTTCCGTTCACCGAACCAACTTACATTTTACAAAAAAGAAACGACAAAAATCTCCGGAATCGACCAATGTCGAAGATGATTCTCAAATTAGCAAACAGAGAGGGAAAAAATTGAAAACAGATCATAATTGGTTTAAACAGTTTGAAACCACTTTTGTTTTTGGTTCCCCGAATAGAAGTTTTTCTTTGGTTCAAAGTGATGAAAATATTGTTGACTCGGGCATTTTTAACATAAGTCCGTTTATTTCTTCAAGAGATTAAGGAAATATAAATTTTGTAATTCGTTGTAAATTTTTCTCCGCGTACTAAATCAAGATGATTTTTTAAAAAATTTTAATCAATTATAAATAAAACCCTTTTTTAAGAATATTTGTTTGATATATTGATATATTGGCATTTTGTTCTAAATAATAGTAGTTACATACATTGAACTGTAACTACAAACATAGTTACATAAATATTTACATTAAATCATTCTAAATACTGCTATTAATTTATGTATCTCAAAGGATAAAATCACAATAATGATATTTTGTTATAACTTATCAATGACATTCTTGATATCAAATTAATAACAAAGCCTCACATACAGTTTTAATCAGATTAACCAACATATTCGGGTTACAAACAGCCCGAATAAATCGAGAAGAGAGATAACCGGAAATAAATAACTTTTTTTCTCTTCAAAATTTGTTTATATGTATATCTGTTTGTTGAGTTTTTTCTATGTAGTGGCAGAAAACAACGTAATATTGAAGAAAGAAATTTGGATATATAAATATAAATGAATCATTCGAATCGAACGATATTAATAAAGGAAACGGATAATCGAAACTCTAGATAATTAATATACCAATCGATTAAAACCACGTTAATCAAGATCGTAGATAATCGCAAACCGGTTAATCCAAGTCCCATTGCATCTACATACATATGTTTAAAGATTTATGATACATACAAATATAATACATACATCGCTGTAACATACAAATCGCATCTCTAATGGATACTAATAGAATATAATACAATGTAATATGATTATAATTCTATTTTCTTAAATCGATTCGAATCAGTATGTTTTAATTATCAATACAAAATGGAAATTTGTAACATACTCGTTAGGAATCTTTGTAAGTGTTGTTGAGCATAAGAACGATTAATGTGTGGATGAAAAAGATAGTGAAAAGATAGAGAAAAAGTATCTTATTCATAAATCCATAAATCTATATATAATTTATCAAAATAATAATAATTTATCTTTTTTATTGAAAACTAAGAAAGATATCACTTATAAAACTACATGTTATTATTGATTAAAGACAGAATAGATTACAATGATTTTTCGTGTTTCAAGCGATGTCACTTTAGCATCATATGCAATAATTATTCAATATAATAATTGATTCAGTGTAATAATGATTTTCCTATGAAATTATAAATAAGAGAGGCATGTTATTATAAAGCAAATACCTATAGGATTTTTAACTGTAATAATTCTTTATTTATACATATTATAATGTTATTAATTACAATTAAATTACAATAATGATAATAATGTCGTGCAATATCTACCATATTTTTAACGCTTCTCAATTTTAATGCATATTCAACCATCTGTCATAAAATGACCTTTAAAGTCACAAAATCAAGAGAAAAAGTTCAAATATTTTATAAATACATTTTTTGAATACAGTAAATAAAATTAATAAATAAAATGGTACGAAAAATTCTTATATTAACAATTTTTTTTCATTTTCTTTATGTAGTACATCGTCTGGATGTATGCTTTTACATGATATAAAAAAAATTTGTAGTATTCCGTTTAAAAAATTAAAAATCACTTTCTTTTAAAAAAAAATGGTACAAAACGATTTCATAATCATCATCTTGCTGACAGAAATCAATATTACTTTCTCTTTTATCTTTCTTTATATTTACTGTTTGTAAAAAAAATATTGGCCAATAAATCTATGAATATCCTGTATATTGTATACACAATTGTATGGCCAAACTATAATTCTTATTAAAGATGAAAAAAGATTGTAAAGAAAAATTTTGCATTGTTTAAGAAGTTTAATCATTGTGTAGTGCAAATGTTTTCAAAATTAAACTTGTTTTTTAAATGGAACTCTACGATTCTTCTTCCATAATTTGATTCCTTCTGACTCTGAATGAAAAAGTGTTAGAGCACAATATCAAAGAAAAATTAATATTGCTTGAAATATTTCAAATTTTATACAGGGTGCGGAATTTCAATGGGAACATCTAAATATCTGCGTTAGTTTTGATTTTATGGAAAAAATGTTCAAGAACAAAGTTGCACTATTTCAAAGAACATATTTGATAATGATAGAAAGAAATTTTCTCAAAATCATTTTTGTAGCATTTGATCATTGATGATTTTTTAAATTTAATCCTAAATATTTTTTCAATATTTTTACAAAGCACAAAAACTAAAATTCTGTGACCTTAATAATCCTTCTGTTCTAAATTCCTAAATTTAATCTGGAGAAATTTTCATTAATATTTCGGATAATATTAAATTTCGGACAATATTAAAGTAATTAAATTTTATGTTAAAATGACAGAAATGGCAATTAGATGAACATAACAGTCAAGCAACATAAATTGGCGTTATGCCAGAGTTAATATAAAATATAAAATACGAATAATTTTGTAAAGATTTTGATATATTTCAGCATACTTTATTGAAATTTTATAGGAATTTAAAATATTACTCATTCCTACTTTTCTCTTTCCGATTGTTTTCGTTATCATAATGAATGACACCCAGTAAATCAAAAAAATATTAGCATATCAGATTTTTTAAAGATATCTTTATATATTTAAATGATACATTAATACAAAATATTTTATTTAAATATTTTATTTTATTTACATCTTCTACTACACATAATTTTCCTTCTTTTTAAATAACTTTCTTAAACTATATTAATCAAAGTTCTGTAAAAATATAATTTCTTTATATGTTAGCCACAACGTTTTCGAATAAAAAATTGATCTTTATTTGGGATAAAACAGAATATGATACAGTCCTCAATTTTTTTTTATCTGTTACATTTTATAAATATGTTGTAAATATAATTTTTTCAATATTAATTTCCTTTTTCAATAAACAAATCTTCGCGATAAAAGAAAGAAACAATACATATCGAAACTAAAAACAGTTATAAAAATGAAATAACAATAGGTAAACTTAAAAGCATCAATTCATAACGTAATATTCGATGTTATATCGTTTTTTCGAAATCTCGTGATTCCGGGATTTTCAATTGATAGAGCAAAAAAAAAAAGAAATAATTGAAATGATTAAGATTATACTTGTAAATAATTAATTACTTCAATTAATTTGTTCAAACATTCACAATCAAAATCGTACACTAAATTTTAGAGTTGTTAGAAAATAAATTTTGATTTTGAAAAACTGTCTCCGGAAATCCACGGTGAGATGGTCGCGTCTTTGTTATATCGTCACTTGCTAGGTAATTAATCTCGAAATGTTAGGATTTCTTAAATTTTTGTCGTCTAATCCTAATTGAGACGAGATGACGAAAATGAGGAAAACAATCATACAGCAAGTTTTAAGCGACCATTGTCAAGAGAAAATTTTAGTCTTTAAAAACATTCTAGATCTAGTCATGAAAAAAAATAATCTTTCGATATTTTTTGAGACGTTTGAATTTTTACAATTTTCAAGAACGTTATTTTCTGCTCATTACATAATGTAAAAATGTTTGTGAAAAAAACGAACTCAAAATTGTTAAAATAGAAGCTCCATTTAAAATAAATTTAGACTAATGAAATTATAATAGTTTAAATATTGATAATTTTTCAATGTAATGGAAATTTAGAAAATAATGATTTTAACCATGAGTCATCATAAATATGTTTAAATAACAAATAATTATTTCAGCATTTTATTTAAAATTTCAAATAATGAATAACTTTATATTTATATAATTAAATAAATAAAAATTTATCAATAACTAAATAAAAGATAATAATTAAGTAAAAATTTATTTGATTGATATCGAATGCTATCCATACAACCTTATATAGTAGCGACTAGCCTATGAATTAGTGTCTAAAATCTTAATGGTATACCTATGTTTTTCTTTTCATAAAATCTTCATGAAATTGAGGCTTATAATTTAGATTAAATAAAGAATGAAATTTTATTATTATTAAAACATAATCTTATATCATTTAATGAAATTTTATTTAAACAAAATCTTATAAAAAAATCTCAAATAATATTTTAATTATGCTCTAGTGAAAAAATATAAAAGTAATGTTTAGTTTATATATATGTTTAGTTTAAATGAACTGAATAACAGAATTATACAATTATATTATTCAAACACTCTTTTATTTTGCCCTTATTCAGTAGATCTAACCTAACAAAATCTGAAGTTAGTAGTCATTGAAACCCATCGCAAAAGTTTATATACATAGTCATAAAGAATATGAGAGAAACAAATGTAATAACTAATTGTAAGAATGTAAATAAGTATTGACCTACATATGTAAATTGTTTTGTTTTATCACACGATCTAATTATATCATTTTGTGTTGACAGAATGATTAAAAAGTTCAATCCTTTCTCAAGTATATCTCTTTTATATTTATTTTTTGTAATTAATACCTCAGAGAAAATTTTTCTTGTTTTACAAATAATAATGGATTGTAAAAAATGTATTGATTCGATAAACATCGTTTTAGTCAGATTAAAATTTTTATCCCAGGGTACTAATAAATACATCTTATTTAATTTCAACAATCGTTTAATCATTTTTTTAACAAACACTTTTAGGCGCCTCGTAATGTTTCAGAGCTTAAAAGCGTCATTAATATAAGTCCCTGTCTCCATCTCCTACAAATATAAAGCCACCCGAACGTTTATCCCACTTTGCTCTCTATCCTTTAGAATTAATCATAACCTTTGTCCTTTTTTTTTCTAAATCCTTTCACGCCACCCACTTCTTTACTCTCTTGCACAATACATAATAAATAAAGCTAAAAAAACACGAAAAATAAAATTTCTGATTTTTCGGTCTTTTGAAATGTAATTCCGTTGCAATTTTTTGTAACTATCATTTGAATTATAATAAATAGTTATACTAATAAATCCACTATACCGTGATTTTGACAACTCCGTTGATATTTCAACATATTCTAACTACTGCCCAACTATAATAAAATTGTTAAAAATTTGATAAAAATCTGTTCATATAGTATAAATAAATAAAAAATTTTAATTTTGTAATGATAAATCAGGACCAATTGATTTAAACCTCCATATAAAATAAAAATATTGTACTGTAAAAATATTGAATGCCTTCTTCCTTCCCCACCGATTGAGATGAAATTTAGAAAGTGTTATGAGTGTTTTCAGAGAGTGTTACAAAATATAAAATGTTAACTTCGGAAATTCATCTGTTTAGAAATAAAAGATTAAAGATATGAATCCTATAATTTTTCAAAACTTAGCGTATGAAAGACAAGGAAAGACAGAAACTACACAAAAATTAAATAAGGACAATGATGGTGTACTTGGCTAGCTACCGCTGGCGCCACTGTCCGGAGATAATATTTATATACATATATGTACATATATATTCTTATTAAGAATTGCATATGTTCGATATGTTTTAGACATTCTAGATTCTAGACGCTCGAATTATAATCTTAATTCTAGCTTAGAACTCTTACATAGGGATACTTGTATTGCGATATATACTGGATACCGAAAACACAGTCTTTTACAGAAAATAGAGCCTTTTATATGATGATTCAGAATCGACAATACAGACCTTTTCACACGATGATTCAGAATCGACAATACAGACCTTTTCACACGATGATACTTGTATGCGATATGTATATGCTGGATAATACATGTAATCTTATAGAACCTTTTATATAATGATTTTCACGCCATTTGTATACAATTAGTACGATTAGATAACGATATTAACGTATATTCTGAAGACCTCGATCAACGACGACACTTTACAATATCGATAACGAGATGTTAAAACAAATAAATTGCGGAAATATAGAGCGTCATATAAAAACAGATGCATTACTAAATTGAAACTTGAGCATTACTGAAATAAAACATTTGAAAAATTATTTAAATAGTTTAATACATCTTATATCTAGTGGTTTGATGTTATTTAGAAATAATTTTACTTGAATAAAAGATGGTTTTTCTCGAAATTATTGTTATTTGACTATCAAGTAAAATAATTTTTCATTTCGATAACCAAATAATTTTAAATTTATTTTTATAAATAATTTCTGAAATAGTTTCTAATTCTGTTGAGTAAACTACACATTGTGCTATGACCATTTGTCATTTTATTTGGATGAATTAATTCAAAAAATAATTTGCAAATCATTTATTTCATTTGTACATAAGATAAAATTACTTTTCCTATGTTTTAAAACATTAGTCATTTGTTTATATTACAACTTTGTTAGTCCGTTATTATGTAGTATCCATACATCTAAAAACTATGACTACACCTCTGTTTCGTTTAAATCACCATTTGCATATGTTTAGAACTGATGTCTTGACTCGTTGAATGAACTATAGTTATTCATTCTTATCTTTCATTCCTCAGATTAATTTCCAAAGATTTTATATTTAAAATTTGTTATACTCTTTGTAACATTTTTCAAATACATCAACTGGCCGAAGTGAGAGGAGTGGGCGGGGAATTCATAAAGCGCAAAATAATTTTAAAAAATAGTAGAAAATTTAGTTAATCAATGTATATTTTATAACTTAAAATACGAAATTTTAATACAGAATGTAGAAACATTTGTTAAAAAATTCGTAAATAAGAATAGGTGGATACATTTTTTTTTATACATACATAGGCACTTAATACCATTGATTTTTAATCAATGATAATACATACATATAAAATGGAATACACTTAAGATTTAAGACTTTAAGCATAGATTGCGTTAAAAATCAGTGATCTTTTGCCAGGTTGATATTTCAGATAAGAAGTCTTATTGAATATCGCATCTAATCTGTGGTTAATCCATACTTGCATTTTTGGCCTCAACAAAATTTATTATAAAAAAAAAATTAATAATTTTTGATCCTTACAAATAAATATTTTAAAAATATATTTTACATCTATCTATTATGTTTGGAAAAAATTTTTTTACAACTATGCTTAAGTTACTAATATTAATTTTCAGTTTCTATAGATTCATATAATTTTTCAATAGGCAAATTTTTAATGTGATTTATAACATTTAATACTTTATGTAATATTTGAGAATGTATCATTGATTTATCATCATCAGCATTAATTACATACCATGTTTTGTCTATTAATTTCTTATAATTGGAAGCAACACGTAATTGAAGTTCAGTATTTTCAAAACGTTCATCACCCCAGTTATGACGTAAAGATTGAGCTTCATTGGAAACATTAAGAAGAATAACTATGTCTGGAGAAGGTAGTCCTTTATCAGGTTCTTTACACCAGCTTAAACATTTACCAGTTGTAGCTGCTGTATAAGCAGCACCTGAAGCAGCATATCTACAATGATATTTATAATTTATGTTATATCTTAAAATTTTTCTTTCAAAGAACAAAGTTTGATACTTACCTATCTATAACAACACTAGTACCACTATACAAAGATTTCAGAATTTCTTCCTTACATTCCCATCGATTTGCAGAAAATAATAAATGTGCTGTTTCAGGAGGAAAATTAATTTTTTTATTCAAAAAATCATTTATTATTGTTCCAATGGGAGTTGTTCTATCTGCAAGCAAATATTGATTATTTTAGATATTATTTGAGAAGATTATGTAGATAAAGAAAATAAATGATTAAACTTTAGAGGATCAAAAATTATTAACTTTTTTTTAACCTGGGAAATTTTGACAAACTGAAACTAAAAATGCAAGTTTTAAAACTAGGAAGGTTATATTAAAGTGAGCATTTTCAGCATTTCTTTTCAGATTGCTGTGACATCATACTATTGGTCGTAGGTGTCCTTTTAAATGAAAATAATATTTATAAGAAGGATTTGTGATAATTCAAAAGTTAAAATCTAAAATGTTTTCAATATAATTATTCAAGGATATGAAACACAAAGATTTTCGTAAAGCGGTCTGTTTACATATATCTAACCTAAATACCATCTTCAAAATATAAAAATATAATATGTAATTTTTGCATCGATAAAGAAGTGTTGGAAATGCAAGGAAATACACTAAAATCGCACACACTTATAAGGCATAACTTTTGAACCAGTGAATCCCCATTTTAAAGTTTTTTTTATTTTGGCTTGTCGAAATATACCAAATTATTAAAACCAAATAAATGATGTTTGTAGTTTGAAAAGTGGATAAAAAAAATAACTAGAAAAATATATGTTTACCAGGAAAAGTTCGTTGTTTGGCAGGAATATTATATTGTTTTAATGCATCCATTAACAATTTTGTTTGCGTGGATTTTCCTGCTTTATCACATCCTTCCAATACTATTAAAGCACCACGCGTTGTTAACATTTTTTCTCTTAATAAAATCTTTTCAATCAAATATTATTTATAAGTGTATATCAAACATTTACAAATACAAAAAAACATTTACAAGTCATTACTTTCCCTCACTACTATCCGAATTTTATTTTCTGGGAACGGTGTTTTAATTCCCATGAGTTGAAAACTGATGACAAGATGGTAAAGGAAATAATACGTAATTAGAATAGAAGTGATACATAACTTTCAAATTTTGTAATATTTAAATTCGAAAAATAAATTCTAACAATGATTCTAACAATCGATACATATACAGCTCTTCACGAAAATCTTCGAACTATTGCGTCTCTAATTGTTAAGAAATGAAATTGGATTCGTACAAAACAATACTGCAATAGAAAGAATTTGTAAATAAAATTGTAAAACATCCAACATAAACAAGACTAATGGAACAAGAAATGTATATGTATTACTTACAGGAGTTATAAGTCATAGTATATATGAACTATTTTTACATTAATTTACGTTAACAGTTAGTTAGATCACTAACTGGCATTAATTACTTGTCGATATATTACATTACATATATGTATACAAACGTTTCTGATTTCTTTTTTTGTTCCATATATTCATTATTTTAGTCTTTGACATTTCTTAATTTTAAAATTTTTTTCTTATTTTCCAGAAGGTCTCTTATGGTTTTATGTGATTAATATTTAATCTCTAGAGGAATGTTTAATATATGACACAATGCAGAATAATCATTCCTAATCTAATCAATTTAATTCAAATAGATCTTTTATATATATATATATATTTGTTTTATTATATTATGAAAGTATATAACAGCGAATGAAACTAGAAATTTTATCTTTGTTAATATTGAATTTGAAATAAAAGTAATGAAATAACATTTATTCTTTATTATCTAAACAGTTTTAAAAAAAAGTTCAAACAGATTAAGAAAACTTTTATTTTCAGCAGAATAACAATCCAAAGCATTTCATTTGAATTCTTTAGGAATGATTGCTTCATAATCCGCTATTAAATATTCCTTTAGAGTCAAAACACTTTTAGATTGTAATAGATTGTAATAAAAATTAAGAAATAATATTAAAAGAGATGTTAGAAACTAGAATAATGGAAATATTTGAGCATATTGTTTTCGACAAATTATTATCATAAATTAATATAGAAATAATTCGTATATTTTTTGAGTTTTATATAATTATATAAAATATAATTATAAACAAATACATTGTAACATATTGTAAACAGTAATCCTGTTTTTGTTGTTGGATTTTTTACTTGCACATTCTTAGTTTTATTTATTTATTTTTCATTTATTGCAGTATTGTTTTATTAATATAAGTGCAACACGCGAGTTTTATTTAATAATAATTATTCTTGCAATAAATTGGAGACTTTTGTGAACTGAAAACTGTCGATGTAAATTGAAAACTACTGTAAATTCACTCTTGAATCTTCGTTTACTAGTTAATAGCTGAGGTTCTTCTCTGCACGTTTAGCACACGAATATTTTATTTATCTTTGCTGACTTGAATCACTAATATGTACAATAAGAGGAATAAATTTGCAAAATATTGAGACTCATAAATTATCTTTCACATATTTTTCTTTATTATAATAGCAATTATAGATAGTAATATTAATATACAGTATACATCTTTCATTATCCGTATTTCCCATAAACATACATCGACATATGAATTATAAAGTGCATTAAAGATATAATATAATTATGTTACATTAAAGTAGAATCGCATCATTCATAAACCATTCTATACATACATTACATACAATTCAATTAATACTTCTGTTCACCTTTAACATTTTGTGTTAGAACCCTCTTTTGATGTTCATTATTTACCGCAAGTATATCACCTCGGCAGCATTCGAGCACACTGATAAAGGAATATAGATTGATCGAATTTTAGATATTATTCAAAATCTTAATTTCGTAAATGTATCAATTGTAACGAAAACTTGAGATATATATAAACCTGCTCAACAAAACCAAGGTATTTCATTGAAAACGATTGGAGATTAAATTCAGATAGAAGATACATTTTATTTGTTATCATTTTTTTATAACAAAACGCATATTTTGTAGCTTAATGCCATTTTTCACAAAAAGAATTATTCTGATTTTGATGTTTTACCTTTAGAATTAAAATGTAATAATAAATTTCTTGGATTTACTTCGGCACCTATGTGAAAAGAATAGCTCTATTTAACCTACCAACATGCGAATTTATTGTATTTCCCGAAGAGATAGACTTATATTTATTATATGTATGTACAAATCATAAATTTTATTATATATCTATATATATATGTATATACATGTAACGTAGATAAAGACGCGTTTCACGTAATAATATGCTGTAATTTATGCGTAATATATATATGTTTTGAAAGCACATTACTGTGTCACGAATATAAAATCGAATAATCTAATATATTTTACATATCTCAACAAAACCAGCTTTACTCCAATTGTGATTAATGGCGGTAAAGAATGTTATTTCACTCAAACCAAATGGAGTTATTTTTCTCCTTATATCTTTTTGTTTCTTTCGAAGATTGACCACTTTATAGAAATTATGGTCATTTTGCTATATTTTGAATATACCCAATCAATCATATTTGCAACATATTTTCTTGCTCTTGATTGTATTACTATCACAAAATGCTGGACGTTAAATGAAAAACCAATCTATAAGGCTTACCCTACATTTGTACATTGCGTAAATGTTATTCTTCGTTCGTCAAATTGCTAAATTTGCCATTATTCGCTTGGCTCATATGGAACGAAGCCCCTTGATAATGTTCAAGAAACATGTATCACGAAAAGCGATTATTGAAAAAAACACAGACTTTTAGAATAATAGTATTACGATTGTAAAAAGAAAAAAAAGAAACGCAAAATAACATTCTTGTATGTAGAAGCGTATTTTGTTTGTAAAATATTCTTTCTCTCAGTTGAGCAGATTAAATTTTTTATGGCATATGAAATGTTCTGATAGCACCAACGTTTTTATATATCAAGAATAAACAAACAATGCACTTTTCCTAAAGAAGAAAAATGTATAGTTCATAGAACGCTATATCTATCAATATGAACAAAGTGAAGAATTATAGTTATACAATTTGCAGTTATTTTTTTAAGTATGTCGTTATAATACATGATAAGAAAAAGGTAAAATTCGAAACTTTAAAATGTATGTGAAAAAATTGCTTATAAAGGAAATATGTATGCATTAGTAAAATAACTAGCTATCGAAATAATTAATACAAACACTGTTGAGAAAATAATTTTTAGAAAAAAATATATCGAATAATTACGAAAGTAAAAATTCGAAATGAAATATTTCGTTATTCTGAATTTAGATAGATGGCAGTTACACTTCTTACTGATATAACGTTGGTATAATGATATACTAGCTTGATGATTAATAACAAATACTTGCATGATACATTGCCTAACAATAGGATTTATAAAATTTTCAGATTTGTAACATTTCTTACTGATATCTGCTTCATTTTCTATGCAATAACTGTTCTTCATCAGCATATAAAATCAAACTCCACAGAGCATCACTATGCTTTTAGACTGTAACAAATTCTTCCAGAACGTCAACGATGTGATCGACATATTATTCTTGCTGTAATTAACATTATACTCGCGAAATATGTTTCAGGAAAGATTATTCACAATTTAAGCGTGAATTCTGTTACGAGTGCAAACTTAACATTCTCTTCATTCGCGATTTCACTCAACATAACATACATTTCTCAGCAGTTATTTTATCATTGGAATTTTCAATATAACTCAACTCGATATATGTAACTCATTAAAACGGATTCACGATAAAAACGTTCAACCCATTTGCGCTTTAACATCAATAATACAGACTTCATTCTAAAAATATATATCGCTGATAAACATTATGATCGTTGATAAGCATGATAAATGGGTTGAATCGTAAAAACTATTTCATAAAATAAAAATATCTACGATTCGCACAATCATGTATCAACGAGCTAGTTAAAAAACATTCCATGAGAAAAACTAATTTTACAAAACAAGTACCCTGTATACTACCGAAATACGATTAAACAATTTGTCGAAATTCTCCAAGATAAGAAACAGAAACAAGTGAAATTCTTAACATTAACGGCTTGTTAAACATTGTTTTCTCGTGAATTGTGATATTTTCCAGATTTTGCTCACGGTGCTATTTAAGAGAAATTATCTGCTTGATGTACATACATATTATATATGATTCCCTAGAAATTGTATTTCTAGAGAAAATAAATTGATCTTTGTAAAGTCGAAATTGAAAATTCACATGACTAAAACTTATAAAGCATCTATTATTATTTGCTTACGTAATTTGAGGTATGCTTGCCAGTGTGGTTTGTGAAAATTTCGAATGTGATCTTGTGAATTTTATCGTGGAGGATATCGATTCTGCTGTACGTTCTTCACTGAACGATTCTTCATGTCATTCGGGTTGTACATCATTGGTCCCTAAAGATCATTATTTTCTTGAAAAATAAAGCACGACATCAAAATTAAGCTATATACAAAAATTTTACAATTTTATTATACTATTATATTTTATTATACTATTAAATTTTTCATACTATTATTATGTTATTTTGTCCAAAATAAAATTATTAAGATTGAAAAATATTAATTAAATGATTATTTCTTTAAGTTTGTAATTTTGAACTTACAGTTGAATGTAGCATAAAGCACAAAATATAAGCTTCGCAATTAACAAATAGCACATATACTGTGAGACCAAAACCATATACATATCTTTCACCAAGCTTTCCCTTACCAGGAAAATCTTATAAGAATGAAATGTTGATGCATCTATTATTTATTGAATGAATTTAAGCTTGATTTAGAGGCAAAAGCTACATGACTGTGAAGTAAATATATGTTATCTTAAATCTATTACATATGTAAAATGTATTTCAGATATTTCTATGTGTGAAATAATTCTTGAATTAAAATTAATTTTATTATTAAAAATTTTTTTATAAAGAAAAAAAAAAAACACTCAGGAATCATTTCACTTCTAATGGCAATATCATTAAAAAAGTATATTCTGTAATCACAAACTTATTATAAAATACGATACTATAATAAATAAATTAAGACATATATTACGTATCGTTGAATAATATTTATAAATGATATCACCTTTAAAATAAGAAAAATATCTACCATTGGATTACCTTGTCTTGTGGGAGAAAACGCGGATCCCTCATAGTGTAGCTCTGCACCTCTCGCGATAACGAGCTGGTTGAGCTCCATCGAGAGAACTGTGTGCCATATGCAACACAATTTTGTCTCACTAACCGAATATTTGCTCTATTGCTATGATTAGGCCTCAAAATTTATGAAAAATTTTGCAATACCGATTTTACAAGATAAAAATTGTTTCTTTTTAATAAAATTTAATAAAAATAAAATGACGTAAAAGATCGTAGAAAATTAGACAATATACAAATATTGCATAATCGGTATTGCAAATCTCTAACATTGTCATGTATAAAAGTGCGATGTTTTTTATGATAGGTTTACGATAGATTTACCTCTTAATTGCAAAGATAAACCATGCTGAAGATTATGATGTAGACATACTAGTGCATTATTTTAGTGCCCTACACCATATGTTAGCTTATGAATGAATCACCCTTCCTTGTGCATCTGATATCAACAAATTGTGTACATGCAAAAGAAAAACCTAAAGGCCTAATATGCAACATTAAAAAGAATAAAAATATCAGGAAAAAGATTATAGACAAACAAATGGTAAAAAGTAGTTTTTCAAACATGTGCTTTATCTCATCTATTGTATTTGCCCTATCTTTCTTTATTGTTGTAATTCAATTTGTTTAAGTGTATGTTGCATTGACAATACGTATAATATTTACACTATCACCCATGCTACTAAACATTACATTACTAAATAAACATTACAAACCATGCATGTACAATAATAAAAAAATATATAAAATTAATAAAATAGTTCTTACTATCAGAAATAATTATTATTTGGCTACATCATTCTGCCTCCCTGACTGCTTGCAAAGGAAACAAAAAAAGAAAGGTGGATTAAACACAAGTTTGCAAGAAAGAGAATATCTATTCTACTTGGAAAATCTACTTGGCATAATTAAAATACAATATAATATAATTAAAATATAATATAAAATTTTCCAATTAGATAAAAATAAAATAATAGAGAAAGACAATGTTTAGAAACCTATTTGGTAATTAATATTATTTTCTATTAAATAATTTAAATAAACAAAAATAAATACATATAATTTTTGGATGAATATACTGTACATACAAAAGTAAGAATTATTTTAGAAGAGAAAAACGAGTATTTTTAGGTAAACAGACAATACACAAAACTAAGAAAAATATACAGACGTTATTACAAATATAATTGTAAAAGAATTTCGGAAGAAAATAACATTTTAACATTACAGTTCCAGAGAAAGATCAAAAAGCTGCATACCAGAATACTGCAACCATAACATAAAGATAATAAAAAGGTTGTGTATAGTGAATCTGAAATAGTAGATTTACTAACATGAAACTGTATTGTTAATGTTGTATATATGTTTGTAATGATAAAAGATGGTTGTATGTACATGAAAGTTTGAGAGATTATTGTGTATAATAAAACGAACTTACCCCTTGAGATGTATTTTCCGAAACATTCGTACTTATGGTTGATGTTGCCGTTGAAGTTAAGAAATCCATAGGAGCACTAGGATCGTTAACTATAAAAAAACATATAATATGATTAATCAAAGAAAATTTTATCAACAGAAAAAAATCAACAGAAGCTATAAAAAATTTACCTGGTGCAGGAATAAATAACTGAGGTGATGAACTAGCCATGGGTACCATTGGAGATGTTGTTATATTTGAAGATGTTACGTTATTTTTTAAACCACCACCTGGATTCATTACATCTATGTAATTGGCACGCATACTTCTACCTCTGGGTAATTTAAATTTGTTCACAGTGGATTCATCTGCTAGTAAAGGTGATTGAGATGATTGAGAAGGTTGAGATATTTGTTCAGGCACAGGTGGTCTAAATCCCATATCAGAAGCTTTTGGAGGAGGAGCTATTGTAGCCGAATTACTATCTCCATCTTCGTCTTTATTCATCCATTTTTTAGCTACCGGGTCCCAAACGATCTGTTTAAGAAATAAAGCGCGATATAAATATTATTCTTCTTATTTAAATAAAGAGAACACAAACACAGTTTATATAAAAAGAAAAAAACTACAGGGCTCAAGTAATTTCATTGTATAATTTTGTGTTAGACACAAAAATTGGAATGTTAAGCAAGAATATATCAATAATTCGTTAGCTGTTAATTAAATGACCGAATATTGAATTATACTGCCCTTTTTCTCTTCCATCATAAAAGACGTCATAATTACCATAAGTACCCGCGTGAGCCCTTAAGCGATAAAAAAATATAAAACCAACTATCGTAATTTTTTATTAATCTATGAAAAATGTAATATTTTGAAAATTACCGTTGGGTTACTGTCATCTGGTAAAATCATTTGGTTTCTTGGTTTTGGAGCAAGTTTGCTAAAAAGTCCGCCAAACCAAGAACCACTGTTAGAAGATTTTTTTTCGATTGGCTTTTCTGAAATTTGTTTGGTTGAAGCTACAGGTTTTGAAGCTGGTTTCGGAGTCTCAAGAGCATCCAATTCTTCCAACGGATCGTACTGTTTTCTCGTTGACGGTGTCATCGAAATCGTCGGTTGTGACGACTGAAATAAAGTATACAATTCATCATCGCAAAGTTGCTCTAGCAAAGTTGATCACTGTTTACTGCATAGTATAAGTACATGTTACTTATGCATTTATTACTTTGAATATAAATAATTTCCTTTTGACGGAAATATCTATCACAGTAAACAGCGAAGAACTTTGCTTACATATTTATAATTCATATAAAATAAAATATTTTTTTATAAAATAATTATATCTAGAGGCACAACTTTTAGAAATTCAGAAAAATCAGTAACATGAGAAACTTTATTACATATTTAATATCAACAGATTTGTATACATAAATCACATCTAAAACAAGAACATATTTTATAATCATGTTCTATTACTTTGTATCAAATATTTGTGTTATTCATGCCTATAATAACATAAAATATTATTCATTAAAAACATTATTTTATAAGCGGAAGAATTAACTGACTTACAAAAGTAAGTTAACATTTCTTGCAAATATAACTACAAATATACAATAACATTAAAGTTTAACATCGAGAAACCTATTATACTATCTACTCACAATTTGTGGGAACATCGATATAATAAGTTTTAGGGATGGATTTTTTTATAGGAACATCTTCGAATTTCGTTACACAAAGGTCACTTATTGGTTTAATCGGTAAATCTATTGGATACGTTCCACCAAAAATAAGTGGTTTATACTGACACAATTCTGTGGAAGGATTCTGTGAAGAATTCGAATAAGACCACGCATCTACTGTATCACAAATAACATCTTTTCTTCGAATATGTGGAGCTATCCTCATGACTTTTTTGTCCTCAAAATTACAATATTGTTTTAAAGTTTGATTTCTATTTTCAGAAGCTACAGTTGTATTATTTTCTGAACTGGAATCAAACGTAGTAAGAGACTCAAAATTTATTCTACTAAATTGAATATCTAAATCAGTAGTTGTCAATAAACTATTTTCATCTATATCATCAGAATTTTTGTCTTTATTATTTTCTATTTTTTTTTTAATTTTACACTTTAGGAATATGGGCGGCTGCGAAGAAGGCGGCTTCATGTATCTACCATCTAATTTTTTAATTTTATTTATGTCTTTTTGATGAATTGTATTATTTAATATGATTTTCGGATAAGCTGTTGTGATTTTAGGGTATGTTATCATTTTTCGCGATTTCATGGATTTTTCATCTGAAGTAGTTGATCTAAAGTGATTAGAAACTGATGATATGATTGTATAAGTACTAATATTAGAATTGGAAGAATGAGGAGTGACGCATCGATTTGAATCTGTTAATACTTTGCGTCGTCGTAATGAGCTAACATTGGTGTCATCCAATGACCAATCAGGATCGAGATTACTATCCGCAGTAAGCATGTAATTACTTACTTCAAGGGTTGGTGTTTTTTGTTCCCTTTCCATCTGTCCATATGTAAGCATTAAAAAAAAAAAACAAATAAAAAAATTGTTATTTCTACTTGAATATACGATTTATCATATGAAACGTATTCTATGTGATTTATTATATTGAAACATATTCTATGAAAGAGCGAAAAATTTAGTTAAACTGTGATAATAAATATATAATAGTTGCGCTATTGAAACATGTAATGAAAATATGCGTGAAATAACAGACAAAAAGATTAATCTAATATTAAAAATCATATATTATTATGTCATAAATTGGAACAATTGATTTACCTTATAGTTCCATTTTTCCTGCTGCTGAGAATCATCAATGTCACCTTGTTCTGAAGGATATGTTGATTGTTGTTGCCAATTTGTAATGGTACTATCGTTTCTCCCATAATTGTTTTGATAATACGAGTCTTGATTCCAATAATCTTGCTGTTGAGATTGCTGGTATTGACAAGAGTCTTCATTATTTCCTGCATATTGCATATTTTGATCATATGTATCTGGTACATTCGATGGTAGAGATATCGGTTGCCATTCTGATTGTGTATCAGCCGTAGCTACTTCCATCATCGACGTTGGACCTTCTCTGTATTCGGATTGAATCGTACTCCATTGTTGTTGCTTAATTTCGTGCACTTCTTGATTTTGTATATTGTTGTATGATTCTTGTTTTGCTTGAAGAGCATAAACTTCATTTTCGATAATTTTTCCCTCCTATAATAAAATAGTAAATAATATCTTCTTTTTCTATAATATTCAAATAAGATAATATTTTTAATATTTATCCTCTATTTAAACTTACGTGGCATTTATCAACAATTTCAGTTAGATTATTGAACCAAGTTAAGGTTGTAGCTTCATCAACTGAATCTTTATAGATAGGATCATGATATCGAATCCTGTCTCCTAAATTGTATACTGCATTGATAAACGACTTCTTATACTTCGATGGCTCGTTAAAAATATTTACTGCAATTTGTTCTATGTATAATAAGGCTTTCTCTATTAATCCATGATCTACCATTTTTATTGCCAAATCAAATTTAAAGGTTTGTAGATCTACTAATGTAAAACCTGGTTCACTAAGATTTCTAGCATATTCATATATTTCCGTGAGCATAACAGCTTCCGTTGTAAAAAATGCATTGTAAGATTTATGATGATTTGCACCGATTAATACAAGCTTTACGTTACTTGCGCCATAGATACCAAAATCAACTTGTGCAAGTATGTAACAAAAATGAGCTGCATAAACATCTCCTCGTGCAGAAAGTGTATCACCGAGAGTTGTAATTGAGCGACGATTAATTTCAGGATTAGCGGATGTGTTGGATATAATCATTGCTAAATGAGGTCTCCAATCATCCCATCGAAGATCTGATATACCAGTAACTACAGCTGGTATACGGCCAGAATGAAGTTGATACAAAGTTTGCAATGGATCGTGATATGGTAGACTATTAGCAAAACGCGTCATTACAGATGCATGTGTACGTTTATCCAATTTGCTAGCTAAGAAAAGTGCATGTCCCCAAAGACCTTCATTCATTGCATATTCTGCATATTAAAAATGATAAAATTTAAAATATCTGAACATCATATAGTTGTTTAATGACGTGAAAAATACAAAACCGTATTTACCTAATGCTTCTTGAACTAATCCGTAAAGTAGTGTTTTCCTAAACTCATCTGTTATTTGTTCCACACTTTTTTGTGGATTACTTTCGACTTTTTCGGTTTTTGCTATACTATCTTGATTACCTTGAATACTATCTGTAATTGAGGCACCCGATCTTTGAGATATTATCGATTCCCTTCTTTCTGAATCCTGCAATTTTTGTTTCTCATAAGGATACGCGTCTTTATTTCTAAGTAGCAATGCTGCTATATCAACGCCAACAACATTCTGAAAAAAATACATATGATTAGGCAAAAGAAGGAAATTATATGCATATTTAATAAAAAATATCTTACTCCATTTTGTTGAATCAACATAATCATTAATTCATATAAAAGTATATACGAAGCACGATCGATCATTTCCTCATTTGATGCCGCCTTTTTAATTTTATTTTCACAATATTCGATAATGGTTTTTTTATGAGTAACACCCCTGAATTTAAAAAAAAAAAGAGATATGGTATTAAAAATAATACAAAGTTCATATAGAAAATGATTTAAAAAATATTGAAAGTGTAAAATTAAGTGACATAATAATTAATATCCAAGCACGCATTATTATGTTATACAGTATTATTAAAAGCAATATAGTTGCAAAATTAATTTTTTATAAAAATAAATAAAACGTATCGCATCACAAACGAGAACGCGCATGCTTAAATTGCAAATATACTGATTACACTTGCTTAATTAGAGGACCAGGATAGGCACGTAAATCACGTGCTACAGGATCATGTGAAAGTAAATTGTCCAATTTAAAAATTTCTACTTTGGCTCTTTCACCATCAGACGGATAAGCTGGATGCACATGTATCAATGATCCAATAGAAAAACATCCTAGACGTAAAATGTTTTTATAAAATCTCCCATAGCAAATTCTGATAAACTACATAATTTGATACTATACCATAAACATGTGAAATAGAAAATTTAGTCGGTGTCATTCGTGCAGAAGTAGCTATTGAATCTTCAAGCATAGACATATCAGCCAAAGTTCGTTTGTCACCAGTTGTTCTGAAAAATATAATTTTTGTTGTTATGTATAAATTAAAAAACTTGTAATGTAAAGTCACAGGAAAAGCAAAATAACTACAAGAAAAGAAGACAGATTGTTTCTAATAAGATGATTGGAAATATTACAGATGTATGTAAATATTTTAATATATCTTAATTTTTAATAGATACTACTGATGACTTTTTAATACTATGGTGAATACTAATGAGGAATTTCAACATCTACCTAAAAAAGATGTTTTAAATATCATGAAAATATTTTAACTAAATTACTAGTTAAAATATTTAACTAAATTACTAGTTAGAAAATATTTTAACTAATTATATTTTAAATAAATTACTTTGAACAATAAAAAGTTTGATATTTTCAATATTTCGAGCATGTTGAACCGAGAGAATTCTCTCGGTCTCACCTATTTAAATTTTGATAACTTGAATTCTGTCTTCGTGGACTTCTGGTCCATCCAGGATACCCGAAATACGGAACATATAATGCTTTGTTTGGCGAGTAGAAGCATGCACTTGAATTTGTAAAAAATCTAATACATAATAAATATTATAAAAACTATAAGAGAACAGACCTAGAATATTCACATCTAATCGCTATTTCAACTTTTCTAACCTTTCATCGCAAGAACTACGCCCAGAATGGACACTTGCTCTGTCTTCGGGATAATTAACAACACCACGAGAAATATGTTGTTGCTGATGTTGATTAGCATAATATTTATGATACCATTCTGAATAAGCAGCAGGATTTGTACGTCGCAAATTTTCAATATATGCATAATAGTTACTAGCATAATGAACACTATACTCGTATCCAGGATATCCTATAATACAAAATAATTTAAATTATTTTCATTATTGAAACAATAAAAATTTAGGTACAAGAAATATGTGTACCATTATAAGGATAATACGGATCTCTCGATCGCATATAGTATTCTCGATCTCTGTCATTGTAAGAAGATCTACTGGATGGTCTAGATCTAAAAACCAAAAAAAAAAATCTTATATATACAAAACATCATGTTCAAATATCAATTATATGCTGAAAAAATATATACCCTCTACTATAAGGATCGTCGTAATATTCTCTCCTATATGTATCTCTTATATCGTAATCATCGTATCGTCTTGTTCGTCTGTCATCTCTTCTTCTGTCACGATCAAGATAATCGCGATCTCTAGAATATCGTAAATCATAATCTCTAATGTCCCTTTCCCTACGTCGCATTCCATCATCAACCCTATCTTTTCTACGATCGTCTGGTCGTCTTCTAATATCTCTATCATCTAAATCTTCTTTAGTTCTATTTCTTCTATCGATCTCCTCTCTCGCATGTCTATCTAGATCATCTCGACTATGATGTTTGCGATCATCTTCTCGGTAAGGAATTTCTCGACGATCGAATTCGTCACGAGTATTGTATGTTCGATCACTTTCACCTCCACGACGACGATCATAATAATAATCATCATCATATTCCCGTTCACGATCATAACTGCAAATAAGTTAAAATAAAAGTCTTAAGTCAAAACTCTTGACTTATAAATTTTATCAGAGTTTAATTATTATACATCTACTCACTATGCGTTTTTTCGTTCGTATTCATATCTTCGGCGTTCTGAACTACTGTCACGTCGTCTTTCTCTGCTATCGTCCCTACTATTTCCAGAGCCTTCATCATCTTCATCTTCATATGAATCTCTACGATTCGATACACTAGAAATTCCTTGAGTCTCGCGTATTGATGCTCCCACAGCTTCCTCGCGTTTATTTCTTGAATCACTGGTTTGATCCTGAATAGCTGAAATGAAATATAAAGTTTTAATAATAAGTATAAAGATATTGAATTTATATAAATATAAAGTTTCGTCTCACTGCCTATAGAAGAAACTTCTTGAGAACCTGTAACTACTCTTCCATTAGATCTATCATCTGAAGACTGAGTAACTTCATTTGGAGACGAACCGCCCGGTATTTGTCTAAGATTCTCATCCGTTTGCTGAACGAGATCTTCAGATTCGTTACCTCTTCCAGGTATTTCCCGTATCTCATTTGGTTCTAACATAATTTGAGATTGTAACTGATACCTTTCTTCTCCAGACGGATCATTTCGTGATTGTTGCGGAGGCAGAGATCGTTCTCTACCAGATGGATCATTCCGACGTTCTATCGTGTCGGAAAGTAAAGAAACATTTCTTTCTTGACCAGGTGGAACATCGCGACGTTCTGATCTTTCTGGTATACTTCTTAGCTGAAGACTTTGTTCCTGACCAGAGGGATCATTTCTTCTTGGGTCAGATAATCTTTGACCAGATTGAACATATTGTTCCTGCCCAGTTGGATCATTCCTACGTGGATCTATGGAGCTTGATTGTCCTGGTATTTCACGTAAAAAAGGAATGTCATTAGGTACTTCATCATTTTCATCATCCTGACTTGACGGAGTGGGTTCATGTTCTTGATGAGAATCAGTTAACTCTCCGGTTTCCAAAAAAGTATTTCTATCATTTGACGCGAATTCATAATTATCTGGTACCTATAAAATAATTTTTATTTACCTTAACTGCATAAAAAAAATTGATCCATTTCTCTTACCTGTTCTGTTTGAAGATGCGAATGAGATCGTGTTGATTGCTGCGTGGAAGGTACTTCAATATTATTTATTTCTTGTCTAAAATCACGAGTACCAGTTATTTCCTTGGTAGAAATTGAAACTGGTTTAGGATCATTATCTAAAGTTTCTTTATTTATAGAATCTCTTGAGCCATATATATCACGTTTTTGTAATGATGGCGCGACTACTTCTAAATTTACAAATTCTGAAGGCTGTTGAATATTTTCATAGTTTTCTACGTTTTGTTCTATATTCCATTCTTTAGGTGGATGAACATTATCTTTCGAATATAATGTATTTTCTGTAGTGAGTGACAATGTATCCTGACTGTACCATTGATCGTATCCACTTTGTGGTATATTATCTGTAGGTTTAATATTTGTCATTTGATATGCATTAAGCACTGAACGGTCTTGACTAATAAGATCATCATTAGAATGAATATTTTCTGCACCAAATGCAGTGCAATCTAAAGATAATCCAGATATATCATTAGGTGTAACACTAATATTAGAAATTGCACTTTGATTCCACCCATCTTCAGAATTAACAGACTGTGCTTCTTTCGACTCATTTTGACTTTCTACATGTTTACTTACTTTAGTGCCAAGATTTAACTGTTCTAATTTTGTGGGCAACTCTTCTACTGAATTACTTTTACTCCATTCTATTGAATCATTTACTAAATTGAAATCATTGTTCTCTTGCATAGAAATATTTTCAGAACTTGCAGCAGTTGATATAGTTTCAGGAGTAGCAGTCATATTAAGTCGGGAATCAGACACATATGATTTAGCAATATTCGTTTTTGTATGTATATTAGAATCTTTAGAACTTACAGAATTTGGAATTGATGAAGGTATAGACCGTTTTCTTTCTTCTTGTTCTACATTAGACTCTACTGCTGGAATAACATTAGGATGAACATTAGGAATATGATGAGATGATATTGTACGATTTTGTTGCCAATCATTTGTAGTAACTGCACCAATTCTTGCTTCTTGTTTAATATTTTCTTCCATTAAATTATCTTGTTTCTGTAGCCACTGAGCATTATTGTCATTCATCTTTTTCCATGGCTGTGAAATTTCAGTACTTGTTTTAGACCAAGAATTAAATTCATCATTGGTGCTATAAGTTCGTGTTACTTGTTGATTTTGATTTGATACTTCGGATTCACGATTTTGAGTGTTCCATTGGGAGGACATATTAATTTGATTTGACCAATTATTTGCATTATTTGTATCATTTATAAAATCTTCTTTATTCTCGGTAGAAGATAAAAGATGCTGATCAGATTTAGTTTGTTGTATTGGTGGTGTATATTGATTTCCTATGTCATCAAAATTTTGTGCTTCTTTATCTAGTTTTAAATCTTGCCAATGTCCCAGTGCAACGCCTGGATTTTGCCAATTTTGTGAAGTTATTATATTTGTTTGATTAGATTTCATCCAATTACAATTACTACCAACTAGAGTAGGATGTGATGCTTGCTCTTTTTGATTTTGTATACCTGATTTTTGCAAATATGGAACATTCTGAGACTGTTGATCACCTGTCCATTGAGATTGATCGAAATTCATAGATCCAGATTTAATAGAATTTGTTCGAGGTGGATACTGCTGATATTGCTGATATTGGTTATAATTTGAATAAGGTGCAAAAGATTCTGTATGATTAGGAACTGATGGTCTGTTCGGAATTGTTCCTGGTGTATTTCTGTCTGATGTTGAATTCTGATTGAGAAGATCATTTTTATTACCATTAATATTTTGATAATAATGATCTTGAATAGAATTAGATATCAGTTGTCCCTGATTGGTATATGAAGGTACATAATGCTGTTGTTGTTGTTGCTCTTGCTGTGGTGGTTGCTGTTGTTGATTATCTGTCTGTTTGTCAAAATCCCAATTCCATGAATTATTCCAAGGATCATTAGGTTGTTTTGGCTGATTTAATAAAGGAGATTGATGTTGAGTGGAATCATTTGATGATACTTCTGATGATACTTTAGACATTGGATTCCATACATTTTGATTATGAGCTCCATAACCTAAACTGTGATCTACCCTAGACCTAGCAGGTCTGGCTCTATAAGGATTCTACAAATATATTAATACAAAAGTCAATCTTTGTTTAACTTTTTACAACACTTTTAAACATGTTACTTACATTCATACTGTTTGTAAGACAGTAATGCCTGCTTTTTATTTATATAAAACCTATAAGACAAAATATAATTTACATATTATATTATGTTGCAGATTAAAAATTATCATTTCATCAATTTACTGTTATCTTATATAATTATTTAATGTTATCTTATAAAATTATTTTGGAATTATTGATATACTAGTAAGATATACTTTCACATATCATAGAAAACACATATATAAGTCAGTATAAATCTATTTTTTGAATTCCTCTGCTAATAAAGTAATATTTCATAAAATGACAATAAATTCAGGGCATTGATTAAAATTAATATGAAAATATAAAATCCATTGATATTCTTTCTGGTAACAATTTGTTGTCTAGGAAGAAAAATTTCTTAAAATCCTTTCACTACAAAAACTCAAAATTGCTGTAATTATATAACAAAAATCGTGAGAGAGCATTTTTTGTAGAAAAATAACATGATTGGTGGATAAGAGAAAGTCAAAAGACGAGAAATTTAAAATGTCGTTTTGAAAATTGCGATACCAGCTGTGATATTCAACATTAGCGTTCAGGGACCTTTCGTACGTTCACTCACCTAGCTATCGTATCTGGCACTGGTATCGGTACGCGAGTATAAGCATTATTTTCTCTCGCAAAACATTCGAATCGTTACTTCAGCAAGTCCAATCGTTTACAGAAGTAAATTAAATTTTGATAAAAGCAAAAGAGAAATCACAAGAACGCGGACATTTTCCGAATCTACGAGGAAGATGTGGGTTAAGCACGTCACGAATTTTTCTCGTTGACTTTCCACGCGAGCAGAACCATAGACGCGCACAGCGCGGACGCGTTGATCTCAAACGTCAAAAAGATCTCCAATATAATCTCGTTAGATGGCATTGCAGTATGATTTAAAATTTTTTTTTAGAAAATACGAAAATACAAAAATCCATAGATTTTTATATAATAACTAATTAATAAAGCTTTGAAATAATAATTTTTATGGATTTGGTACATAATCTTAGAATATAAAAATATTCTAGGTATTTAATGTAAAATAGACATTTAATGTAAAATAGAAATATACGTATATTTTATAAGTAGATATTTATTTGTATCTGTTTTATTACGACTTTTTATTTTTGATACACAAATATCAAATCTATTGATTTTGTATATTCAAGTTTGGTAATTATATTAATCGTAAAATATGGAAATAACGAGAGACTTGATTGCGATGTGTTCAATGGAAGCTTTGGAATGTAGTGACTAGTGACTGACGTGGTATGCCAACAGTGGACGTTTGACGAATCGGTCATACGGTGGCCAGTTGTGCGTAAATGGATCGCAGGTGGTGAAGAAACGATTATTTTACAAACATTTTAATATTTTTTTTCTATATTTTCGGTGAAAAGATTAATTAATTTTTACCAAAATGGTGTTATTAACAATGATTGCAAGGATAGCAGATGGTTTACCACTGGCAGCTACTATGCAGGAAGATGAACAGGTTAGAAATCTGTTATGATGAAACGTCAATATATGATTGAGTTTGAAGATTTTTTTAAACAATTTTTGTGTTTTTATATAAGTTTTATTGTATAGCTATGTAATTAATAATTAACTTGTACATAATTATTTTCAATAATATGTTGAAATGTATTAATGTTACTTATCAGAGTATAAGATTTTTGTTCATTGATTACAATGTTTTACTAATTATTTATAGAGTGGAAGAAGTATTTTAGAATATCAGAATCAAGCAAAAATGTTATTTAGAAGATTGGGGCCCCAATCTCCAGCTAGATGTACTATAGAAACAGGTCCATATTTATTCCAGTAAGTTTTTTATGTTATAATTGAATGAAAAACTCGGATCAGAGTCCATATTACATTTGAGTTAAGTCAAAATTGAATTAACAATATGGTATGATTTTATAATCTCTGTAAATTATTTTGATTAGAATTACTCTGATTGAAAATATTCCACTAGTTGATCTAAAATATAAAAGGGAGAGCTTTAGATTTTTGAAATTTATGAAAAAATTGACATATATTTTACGTTACAATATTATCTAGAGATACGATAAATGTAATATAATCTAACTCTTACTCAAGATTTTCATTCAGTTGATAAATATATTATATAATAATAAATTATTAGCTATTTCCATTTACAGTTATTTAATTGAAAATGAAGTATGTTATTTGGTACTATGTGAAAGGAACTATAGCAAACGGGCTGCATATAGTTATCTTGAAGATATAGCACAAGAATTTCATTCTTTATATGGTAAACGTGTCAATACTGTTACTAGGCCGTATAGTTTTATCGAATTCAGTATGTACTTTTTCTTCTCTTTTACATAATTTAGTTTATATACTACTTCCATAAAATATAAATTATTCTTTCAGATACATACATTCAAAAAGCAAAAAAGGTTTTTTTAGATGGCAGGTCAAGAAGAAATATGAATGCACTTAACACTCAACTACAGGATGTGCAAAGAATCATGGTTCAAAATATAGATGATGTCCTGCAAAGGGGTACAGTTCTTTCAGGTAATATTACATATTTTAAGAAAAATAAAATTTATTAGATATTTTTTATTTAATTATTATTTATTTTACAGAACTTGATACTAAGACACAAAATTTGACTATGTTGTCACAAAAATATAAAAAAGATGCAACTCATTTAAATAGCAAGTCCATGTATGTAAAGGCTGTGGCTGGACTTGTTGCATTTTTAGTCTTCCTAGTATATTTTTTTATTCTTTAGTTTTTTGATATAATTGATAAAATGATTATGATTATGTAAAGACTATTAATGTTTTTCATTACATTATTTTTCTAAAATTGGCAAATATCTTTTTTTGTGAATTTAGTTTTTCACATAAGGTATTTAAATTTTAGATTTATTTGAAATTGGAACAATGTATATATTACACTCAGAGAAAAAACTAGTCGCCAAGAATATAATAATATTCATACCATTAAAGATATTGTTTCACATATTGCAATAAATATAATAATTCTTTACATAATTAAGACAATGTATGACCATCTTTGCTTTAGCTTAGTGAAGCAGTTCTCTAAAAAGACAATATGTACAGCTATGATTATTGTTATATTAAAAATGATGTGAATCTTATTATCTTTATTTATAATCTAAAAATTAAAATTATATTCATGTTTAAAGTCGTATTTTATCACGTATGTATTATTTTACATAATATGTATTAATTTACAAAATTCTTAATAATTTACAGTTAAAGCAAACATGTATATTTATTCTTGTGATTGTATTATTCTCTGAAGCATAAACGTTTACGTATTTACTTTTTCGGATGGGGAATCAATGAAGGTATAGTTGTAATTTCATTACTGTTGTATTTATACGCGATTCAATTGTATTAATCTATTGAAATATTGTATTTAAATTAAATAAAAAAGATTGAATTTGTACATTCATTTAAACTGATGAATCATTATAATTGGTATATTACAATTTGATAACTATTCGCTTTTTGACTTCTTATTGATTTTTCATCAATTTTGATTTTTCTTCATCAGATTCTGAGGATTCAGAATTAAAAAAATAATTCACAGTTGAATTTGTTTTTTGCTTTATGTTCGTTTGTTTGTATTTTCTTTTTCTCCTTTCTGATGCATTGTTATATTTTGAATCAATTACATCTTCATCATCTAAAGTATTATATTATACAATATATTATGGCACTGATTAATTATGTGATCTTAAAAATAAAAATTATATGTAAGAAAAACATACCAGTATCTATAATTTCATACATGCATGTATGATCACTTAATATTATATATATTGTTGGAAATTCAATTATAGTTTTATTTTCTAAATTCTCCTTTAATGAAAGTGTAATATCCAATTCATAAAACCTAGATAATTTATAATATACAATTTAATTAGTTATATTTAACATGTTTGAAACCGATGGGTTTTACAAAAACGAATTTTATAAAGATCCCAAGAGTTGGTAGATTGAATGGTAGATTTAATATCAATTAAACTCATGTTTAAATAAACCACATTTAATAATGTATCTGTGTGTCATTGACTATGAAATCATTTTTTCAATTAACACATTATATACTTCGCTATTTTTATACTTTAACACGTGCAACATAATTTATATATTTATTTTTATGTGACATTAAAATCAATTGCCATACAATATGCTTTAGGGATCTTATTCTACTATTAAGTTCACTAACAATGATTTTTTTATAATTTAAAAATTTAGTAAATATCAATCATTACACAGGCATTACATCTTTAGCTGTTAAGTAGAGATATTAAACGATATAATGGTTGTGTCATTGATCTTAAATGTATTAAGTTTCAAAACAAAGGATTAAATATACTTACTTTAAATCTGATTTTAAAACCTTCTCTGCTTTCAAAAGAACTTTTATTCTAGATAAACCTGCTGCCTGATAAAATTGTAGTTTCTCATTCAGACACATTTTTAGATTTAATTCCTCTATATCATTTTTCTTTATTATGGATTTAGTAGGATATAAAATTTCTTCTATAAGCAATGATAATCTTGTATGGTCTAGAACTCTATATATATCATAATTTTTAATAAAATTAATAATATATTAAAAAATTACAATATACATTACAATAACAAATTAATATATATATTGCAATGTATATATATGTCAACATAAAAAAGGATTCTACCTTTCTGTGACCCATTTTGTGTAGTTTGCTTGAGGAAAAATCCATTCTATTCTCCAATATAATTCATTAGTTTTCCAATTTAAATATGTTGTATTGTTTTTATGTCTACTAAAATGTTGTGGCATAAATTGTAAAATAACTTTCCTCTTACATGCAGCTATTTTAAGTTTATTCAGATGCTATAAAAACAATACTTATAGTAAAAGCATGTAAGTATATGTCATGTTTTGAAAGATATAAATTAAATAATTTCACAAACCATTGGTAAACTCAGTTGACATGTATATTTCTTTAACGGATTTCTTTTTAATTGATCAACTGTTCTAGCAGTCTCTTCAAGAAACCTATAATCTGTCATATTTTTTTAACAAAATAATAAAAATGTAATGTTTAAAAATAATGATAAAAAAAATTTTTTTTAATTTTAGCACAAGTTTATATAATTAACATAACTTACCACTTAAAATATCCAAATCTGTAAACGATTTTAATGGTATAAATTTTGTTTTATCTCGAATACCGTCACATTCCAATTCTTTTTTGTGAATATTTACACATTCAAGACAACAAGTTCTAACCTCACATTTTGGACATGTGTATTTTGCTTTGTTTTTACCACATACTTCACAATCTTCGATTCTGCAAATAATATCAATTTTAATACATATATATAAAAATTAAAAAATTTTAATTAGAACATTGTTCAAATGCGATAATTGTTTTTATTATTTAAAATGTCATACTTGTCACTGGACGTAGCCATGTTCCTTTATGTACATCAAGACTAAGCATAACTATTAGGGGTGTGCAGGTTCCCCAAATTTTCTTGTTCTGGTCGGGCTCGCACAGTCGGGCAGGCTCGGGCGGGTAGCCCGAAGATTTCAAGTGACCTGATGATTTCGAATCAGTTGGAAAAAGTTCAATGGGGATATTTTGGTTTATTTAATAAATTTGCCTTTAGTACAATTTTTTGTTCGAACATTTTGTTAGTTAATCTGTTTGCTTTAAGCGAGTTTGTTGTCGTTGCAAACGAAAACAAACTGGAGCAGCAGATGGCGAAGGAATGTTATATTTCAAAAATATATTTTTAATTATGGGATATGCATTCAGAGATATGTAATCATTTCTATTATCTGTAAAAAATTGTAGTATAAGAATTTCTACGTTATCATTTGTTTATAAATGTTGGTCGGTTCAAATAGATTCCGCTTTATTAAATATTAAAAGCAAAGCAAATTTATTAAATAAACCAAAATTTAAAAAAAAATGTACTCCTGACTCTTTTTCTTTATATTATTTCAGTAAATATTTTGAATAATTATTTTATTCGAATAATGCCCAACTGTGTGTTCGAATAATTTTTCTTCGAATAAAATCGTTATTCGTAAGGAACAGATAATACCAGCAGGAACTTCACTTTAAAACACATGGCCCTCGACAACAAATTTCGAGTGAATTTGAGGGAACGATATACATGTGGCTGCGGTACGGCTGTGCGCCACACGTTGGAGATACCGTCTCCTTTAAACATCTAACTTCGCTAATTTTACGAATTTAAACAAATCCTTTTACATAAATATTCTCGAAAACATGCACTTTGAGAAAATGTAAAAAAAAAAAAAATCGATTTTTTGAAGCCGAAAAACCGGAATACTCCCTTAAAGTATAAGCATAGTGATGTAATTAATTCAGTAATATGTACAGAGGCAGAAACCAGTAAATGTTACAGAATAAATGATTGGTGAAACATATCCAACTGTCTCCCAATATTATCCAATGTATTTCACATTAATAAATGTACTTCTGAAATTAATTTAGGAGCACTTAAATTAGGATTCACTTTTATTTTTCTTAGAATAATGCGTTTGTCTCGGTCGTTAAGTTTTCGTGGCCGACCTTTCTGATTTTTCTTGATTCAATTCGGTCTTCATCATTGTATCTCCGTACAATATCAGCCACGGTACTCTTTTACTTAATTTTAAAAGATGACCGATTTCTCGATACGTTTTTCCTTTTTCTCGGTGAAAAATAACTAATTGTCATTTAAATCGTCAATAAATCGAAAGACGAGTTAAAACAACGATTAATCGAAGAACGAAAAAATATCCCGCTCAATGACTTAAAGAAAATTACTGGAAATATGCCTAGACGTCTGCGATATGTAATTGAAGTTAAGGGAATTAAGACCCAACAAAATATTAATTATTGTTTATGTTAACAATTTTCAGGTTTAAATATTATAATTCTTTAAATGTCTGAATATTTATGCCACACTATATTTTGACATAATTCAGTTTATTGTTTGACGTGCAATAAATAAATAAACTTTATGTTACTAAACTATAATATATTATTAAAAAATTAATCCAAACTTACTATTATAAACAATCGAAGTCCACAACAATATTTTGAATAGCATGATGTCCAGATATTAATAAGAGTCACTGTATGTATTTCGCCGATGGTTTTAGTGCTAGAAATATAAACATTAGTTGGTGGAAATGCAATACAGCCAGATTCCCACTATTGTCTTTAGCTGCAAAAAAATTTCTTGCTCTACCTGCCACTCATACTACGAGTGAAAGATTATTTTCCGGAAATATAATAATATCAACTCGAACGAAATTAATATCACAAAATGTTGAGCAATTATCTTTTTTACATTATCATTTAGAGTAAATATTATTACATTTGAAGAAAAAAATATATGTATATTAAATATTATGAATAATTGATTTCGATAACGTAATATAATGCATATCATATCCCATTTGAACTTTTTCCAACTCGATCCGAAATAGACGCACTACCCGAAATCATCGGGCTACCTGCCCGAGCCCGCCCGACCCGAATAGTCGGGTACCCGAAATTCCGGTACCTACACACCCCTATTAACTATGAATCATACAAGTATAACATATTTAAAAATAATTATATATAATGTGCAAGGATTATTAATGCAACAATTATGATTGCATTATAAGATTTATTTATTTATATTTTTTTACACATATTAATAGATACAATACATAAACTAATTTCTTGTAGAAAGTTAAAATTGTAAATAATGTACATCAAAATATAGATAATTTAGCTCTGCTCTTTCGTTGATCTTGTTCAGCAGCAATACTTTTTTCAGATGCTCTTAAACTAATTAGTTCTTTTTGTTTCTCATTATATTTCATTATAATGTTATTATAATGAACACTTCCTTTTGCATGTCTTGACAACGATTCTTTTAACTTCGCCGATTCTCGTTCTAGTCTTAAAATATTTTCTCCAATTTGGAAACTTGCTACGTTTAATTGTCGATTTGATTCTGCTTTAAGATTATTTTTACCTTTTGATATATTTCGTGTTTCTGTTTTAGCTGCAAAGAATTATTTAGAAGTATCGTGAAATACAGACTGTGTTAATATATACGAATTATAAAAAAATTTCTTGAGACATACATTTATCACCTAAAGTTGCATTTATAAAATTAAATACGTTGTTTTCTTCTCGTTCTTTTTCTCTTTGATACTGTTTTTCTCTTTGCTGTTCCAATTTTTGTTGCTGCTTTCGCATTCTACGTTCTACAGTAAATAAATTTTCATCTCCTCCAGCATTTTCTCGTAATTCCATACAATGATCTAAAAATCAATTTTATTATTTTTAATACAAAGTGTTTGTATATTGTAGAAACAATAGTATAAAATATATATACCTAAAGATTTACCAGCTGGCAACACTGTTGCTTCAACTGGTTCAATTCTGCCGTCTGAATGTTTTCCAAGACCAGTGCCTACTACATATCCCATTTGAGCCATTAATTTGCTACCTATGCCACGCGTATGTTTTTCCCAATTTCCTAATGGTGTGTTACTTTCTACCGTGAGAAGAGATTTATGAACTATTTCTTCTTTAGAATACTCTGTTGAATCACTTTCATCCTCACTATCTTCAGATGTATCTGACATTTCCAAATCAGCATCATCTATGACAGTAAATTGAAATAAATGTTTGAAAGGACAAAATTCAAATGTAATAATGTGAAATGTACAATCATTTTAGAAAATACATACCAAGAGGTAAAAGATCTTGTAAGGAAACTTCTGCAATATTACCATTTGCTTCGAACTTAATTCTGAAAACATCTCCTTCCTTTTCTGGCATTTTTAATACAATGCATCTGTGCCACAATTGGTTCTTTTGTTTTGCTAGTACTCTACTACCCATTTTTATACTTTGAAAATCTGGTTCTCTATTAATAAGAATAAATATTGTACTTTTGATTTTCATATATTATTATTAAATATTAATAGATTCACTTACCTATATTCTTTAATACTGGATAATGGTACTAATTCTCCGTGCGAAAATCTACAATCTTCGTCAGAAAATTTACACTTTCCATCCAAATAATAAGGACATGGAAGCATTTCTTTGTGTGTTGGATTTAGAAAAAATACCCTGACCTAAATAATAATGTATATTTAAATCCTTATGATTGATAAAATGGATGCGGATAAAGAAAATGATCTGTTTCCTGCTGATTTTGTTAAAAGGATATTTAAATTAGCAATTATCTTAAATCTATTTATAAATCATTTTTTTCTTACTTTTATATCTTGCATATTTTTTATTTCTATGCTGCCATTCTGATAAACAGAGCATATCATAGCATTATGATAACCAATGCCTCCCCAACTGCTACCATGGGGAGCTCGACATTTCATGCCTTCAAGCTGCCTCAACTCATCCTACAAGATGAACTTCCACCGTATAATTGTATCATTTCTATGCCATATAGAATACTTGCATACTGACTTCTATATTATTTGAAGCTCCATCATCTTGTTTATCCGGTTCTTTACTCTCAGAATTATTAGAAGTTTTCTCTAGTTCTGCCTAATGAATATTAAATAAAATATTATTCTTTTGAGCCTCTTATATTTCTTGTTTTTTTATCACTTTGTTTGATCAAGGAAACACTACCTTGAATAAAGCATATTCTTTTTCCAATGGATCTTCCATATCATCATCCATTTCAACATCGTCATCATCGTCGTCTAAATCTTCACTAGAGGTTTCGACACCTTGTAGGCTTTTTTTCGTTAAAGTAATAAGTTCTTGTATGTCCGACTGTAAACTTAATAAATTTTCTCTATCCGCTTCTTGCGTAGTTACGGACAAAGTTGCTTGAACTTGAGCTAGCTGATATGGCAAAAATATGTTTAGAACACAAAAATAAACTATATTTTATTACGCGAAAAACGAAACAGGTATACGAGATATTCCAAAGGTTATACTACTTCCTTGTAAAATGTTGATAAAATAGTATTTCATACCTGCTGTTCGTATTGTGCAATTGCTTCTCGTAAACTTTCAGTGTCTGTCATATTATTCTATATTCTCTTACCCTGCGTAGATTTAGAAATGCTTGAACGAGGGATCTGAAAAAAACAGTTTTGACAGTTTACATACAGATCTTTTCCGTACTCTATAATTTAACGATCGTAGTAGGATATCACTACCAATATTAAAAAGATCTAGTTTAAAGACCCTAAATGCCGATGCCCATTATGTGGCGACATCTTGATTGAATTGTATTTGAAATACGTACATATATATGCATGTGTAAATACTCACACATTATACATTTAGAACCGTTTCTTTTACATATAATTCTAAAGAGTCACGTAATCATATAAATAAAATTGTATAACAATTACAACATTAACATAATTAATATAATTCGAATGATAAAAAAAATATTCCTATAAATAGCTGAAATAAAACCTGCTCTTCATGGCCTCGGTAGCGCAGTAGGCAGCGCGTAAGTCTCATAATCTTAAGGTCGTGAGTTCGATCCTCACCCGGGGCAATATTTTTTTCAAGTATGAAGAAAACAAACATTCTATTTCAATTGATATATCTACACAATTAAAATTACCAATAAAGAGAAATATACTATTTTTAAATAATAAATATCCGAAATTAAATATTATATTAACAAATAGAATTTTTAGAAATATTAAAATTGCTATACGTAGCAAATTATTGAAAAAATAGATACATAATATCTATAAAAATAATAATGTCTATAAAAAATAGATAGAATTATAAAATGTGGATTCAAGAAATAAGCATCGCGAAGAATAAGGACGCACGGTTTTACGAACAAGAAACAAAGCAAAAGACAATTATGTAAATGTAACACTTGCCAGAGGGACCTGAGGCTTCTTGGAATTGAAATGTAGTACTTAAAACGAGTTGTGAATTGTTTGTTGCCCTTTAGCTATACCACAATTTGCAAGCAAACAGCCCATTTAGCTGAAGCTGTCGTAGCCTCTATCTTTACAGCGAATAGGTGTTGTGACCCCTCTACTGGAATAAATCTATCGAAAGCGACCCACGCTTCTATCACATTCAACTAGTTTGTTTCCGCGTGCGACAAAACGAATATCGATCCATTAAATTGATAATAGTGTTTTGAAAACAATACGATTCAAAAAAATTATTTCGATCTTTTCAACATCTCTTTTTAACATCTATGTTTTTGCTTGTAATATCTTTGGATGCACATTTCTCGAAGAACGATATTGGAAAAAAAAACCAATTTTTGATGTTGAAGACGATGCAGAGCGAACGAATAGACTAGGATGCGAGCGAATCCCTTGGCAACTTTTCGATCTTGTCGCACTTATCGTATTTTCAGGGTGATTATACCTTGGTGGATATCGGCGAGCCGTGGCAGAAAACGAGAGAAAAGGTAGAAAAGGTTGGTCGGGAGAAGAGAGGCGGATCCGTGTTTTCGCGGGTTATTTTATGCAGCCGCTATGCATCCGTTACGTATAAATGCAGAGACGCGGTCCGATTTGCAGGTGCACAGCAGGCTCGTTGCAAGCGCGGTTGATTCCGCGTTGATTCAGGCCGTATTCAGTGCATCGAGTCCCGCGATGAAAAGGCGTTCCGCTTTCTGAATATATTCCAATTAAAAAGTCGGAGCTTCGTTACACTCGGCCCTGCCCGCGTGCACTCTACACCCTGTACCCTGCACCCTGCACCCTGCACCCTGCACCTTGCACCCTCCGCCACTCTCACCTTTCTCTTTCTCTATCTTCCTCTCTTTTCCCGCTCATCCTTGCTTCTCGCGATTCCATCTTTACCTCCATTCTCCCCCGCAGCCAACCTCGTCACAACCGACTCCTTTTACTTCTGCTTTTTGCCTTCCACCAACGGAGCCACCATCCCTCTTTGCTATTCTCGTGCAGCCATCTATCCTCTGCTTTCCCTCACTTTCTTCCACTCTCCCTCTCTTCTTCGGTTTCTCCAGCAATTACTCCGCCGTTTCTTTTTTTCTTTTTCTAAAGAATTGGAAATATTCAAACTCGTCAGCTTTCTCTCTTCTTATCTTCCTTTTTTCGGCGTTCGTCTCGCCCCTTCGTCCCGCATCGATATCCGCTTTCTTTTCTTTAAAGAGCAAGAAACAAAAGTCTCTACTTTTTCAACCACATTTTTCAACAACCATATTTCGACAATTTTCACCGTTCTTCTGGAATCGTTTATTCTTTCCTTCAACAAGGTTTCATCTTCTCGTATTAGCAGCAATATCGTTAATTATCAATCGAGAGAATCACGTTGGAAATCACGCAATCATACGCGGAGATACGAACCATTTGCGAGGAGAATCCCGGGACGTAAATTTCAAAGGTATGTAATAGCAGGGACGATTTCGAAGATACACGGGGTGGCCCCCCTGTGAAGTATTTAACGACGACGTTCTCGGTCGGGCAAGAGGGAGATGTAAAGTGAAGAGGGATAAGAAGCGCGTGTCCAAGTGCCAACACGACTTACGCACGTATGCACGCGCGTCCACGGTTATTCGCTCAACGACAATATGCACGTGGCCGAGTGCACGCGACGCCACTTCTCTCTTATCCTAGGATATCTGATTCGAGTTCCTGCCTGTGCGACTCGGGATTCACCGGGGGATCGTTGATAGCGGCTGTTTCGATATAGAATGGACGATTCGAATTGATCCAGTCATCCAGGAGTAAATTACGGCCGTTTACACGATTCAAACGCACTCGATCGTACTCGAATCTTTCTGTCTATGTGCGTGTATATACATACATATGTAAAGCGGTAATTCAATCGATTTGGTTTGTTGAACCAATTGTTTTACAATTTTTCCGATCATTCAATTTACTCCAAATCTCATTAGATTCGTTGCAAAATGTTTTTACGTATGTACGTATATATTTTCGAAAGAGCAGATGCCCGTTCCTTTTGAAAAAGATTTGCAGTGGAGATTGCGACATACGAGTTAAAAACGCATTAAGAAACGAAATTAGAAGCGCGTAAGAAATCGCGAAACGTTGTCGGGAATAATACGCGTGGCAGAAAATTATTACGAATAACATGCGATTCATTATAGCGAAGTAATTACGCGTGAGAGATTCTCGGTTTTATCCATGGCACGATGAACTTACCACGAACGAAAAGAAGCAGAAAGAGATAAAAAGGGAGACAAGTGTGGCAAGAATTCTTCCTTCACTCGCGTGATTTCACGCTCTGCAAGATATATCTCTGTTTCCTTCCTTCTTTTTTTTTTTTTTTTATTATTATTCGAGGGCCAGACGCGGAGAATTTCCTGGTTTATTCTCCTGAATGAACCCGAAAAGAGTGTCTCCCATTCTGGTTTCCCTCTTTTTTTTTCATCGTTTTCGCGGCGTAACTCGTAGAGAAAGTTGATGACTGCGGCGAGTCGCGTAACAATTTCTTCTTATCAAATGGAACGTCCACGAGTCCTTTTAACTTTCCATGCACCTTTTCCCCCAATTATACTTTCATTTATCTTTCTACGATACATCGCGATTTCTTAGAATTCCCCGATTCCGAAGAGATCCTCAATTTTCTGTCGAGAGTCTTTCGATAACGTTTGCTAGCGTTATCAAAGGGAAGTGATTAACGTCGTTACGCGAGATCATTCGAAATTCGCTTAATGCAGTCTAATCATCCGTGTAAAGAGACCGTAACACTTTTCGTTCTGCTCTTCTCGGTCCTTCTCTCGTTCTTCTCACTTTTTTCTCCAATTAACGGCGGAATCCGCAACCGATTTGCGAAAAAAATCATTCTGACAGTCGCGACCGTTCCGTCCGCGATCTATCTCTTTTCTTTCATCCTTTTCTTGCACGCGTTCTCGCACAGGTATATTATTCTTTCTCGCTCTTTCTCGTCGATTCCGTTCAATTAAATCCGCCAGCCAATTCCAGCCACGAGTGCCAATGCCACTCGACTTGTATCGGTTTCAGCCAATTACTTTCTGCTGGGGCTTGCCAATCGCTATTTCTGGCCACGTGCCCATTGTCACGCGCGAATTGGTCTTTCTGACACGGGCTCGTTACTGTTACCGTTTGCCCAAATAAAAAAGTCCGGTTTCCGTCTCCACGTGTGTGCACGCTCTTTCGCGGCATCGTCTGTGATGGACGAAGAAGTTGTTATTTTTCATTGATCCGTTTGATCGTTGTACTAAACTCAACATTTATCTCGTTGAAAAAAGAAAAGAAAAAAAGAAAAACAAAATGGTCAAGAATAAAAAAGAAATTTGAGGTTGCAAGTGCAATAAGATAAAAGTGAGTGCGTGGCGCGTGAAAGGGACAATTACAAGACAGCGTTTTTGTTCGATGATAATTTATTTATCTACAAGAATTCATCGGTTGACGAAAAATTGTCGGTTAACTGGTGAAAGTGATCGATTATTTATCAGCGGTGAACGTCAGCGAACTAGATCTCTAAATGAAAATTGGCCAGTGATTGCAGAAAACAGGGAAGAACGATCGTACCTACATATGTACGTCCGGAGCGTCGCACGCGTCATAGTAAATGTCGTTTCTATCCCCTTCTCGATTATAGTTTTCTAAGAGCCTATGACACATCTACGGAATTCGACTGGCTATCAACTTAACTAGACTTCGTTCGTTCCGAAGGAAAAGGAACATTTTTCCGAATGTGGATATTACGCGTTTGCACTTAGCTAAACTGGAAACAAGCGGAAGTTCACGCACGATGGTGATTCTCAATTTCATTTCGTATACTCTTTTCCCTTTTGTCGTTGTGAACGAAAATAAACCGACTACGACTACCGACCAAGTTTGTAATTACATATGTACACTGTCTCGCATGCAGGAGTAAACACGAGAAACAACTCCAAAATGGAACACGGTATCCTCGAAACATTTCACCCTAATTGTCACGGAGAACTTCCCAAACATCCCGATTATTGCAAACGAGTCTCTCTTTGTTCGTGTTTACGTCGTTTCATAGTTCGTGCACTTCACTGTCTCGGAGATACACGTGTGATCTGTATCCAAAGTATAGCCGAACAAATCGATCTGAGACTCCTCTCGCACGCACGAGCGACGTGGCGAAACGCATGCCGGAGAATTCGATGCAAAAGACCAGCGACTCCCGCGAACCGTGATGATTTAAGATCAGAGATACGAGTGCATCGAGGTCTAATTGAAGCCATTTCCAACGACGGTGCCGATCTTGAAACGTTCGAGGCGGATGTTTCGAAAAGAGGAGGGCGGCCGGAAGGCAGAAACGGTCCTGAAACCGCGGCGTTAGGCTGGGTTAGAGGGGACATCCGTGAACGTAGGTAACGTTTCGGAAGAGAGCTGCAGCGGTCGAGAGGAACGCTGCTGTAGAGGCGGTCGACGGTGCCGGCGGTGGTGGCGGTGGAGGCGGATGACTCTGCGTTTGGGTCTGAGCGTTGTAAGGTGGACAATAAGCGTCTATGCTGCCATGATGGAGTCCTACTCCTCGCACCAGCAACTCTTTCTCCACCGTTGCTTGATGTCGTAGCTGTTCCAGTCGCAGTTGGTTCTGTCGCTTCCACTTCGTCCTGTGGCGAAAAAGTTGCATCTTTTACAGGATCGCTATAATAACATTGACAATGATAATGTTGTTTAACGAGTTGTCGAAGGAAATAATGACCTTCTGTTCTGATACCAAGTTTTGACTTGGGTCTCGGAGAGTGACAGCGCGTCGGCGACGTCGCTGCGATCCGCGACGCTCAGATATTTCTGACAACGAAATTTTCGCTCCAGATAAGCAAGTTGAGCGTGGGTGAAGGCCGTTCGTCTTCTTCTGGGCTTCCTACCGCTTGGCGGACCATTGGTCGTACTGCAGGACTTGCCGGAAGTTGTTGGTGCCGGGGATGGCGACAGAGCTGGAGGAGGACTTTCTAATCGAGTGCATGGACTGCTTCCAGGATCGATCGTGTCTTCGGAATCGGAATGAACGGCCGAATCATCCTCCGAATCTTCTGAAATGACATATCTTTAATTGTACGAGCGCAATGCGAGTAAAATCACGCGCAACGGTGATGTTAAGCAAATGAAATTTAACGAAACCCAATCTAATTTCGCTCGATTTGTATCGTGTTCGGAAAGTCGATTACGTGTTCGAACAATGCCAAAAATAAAGTTCTTGGCCGATCACGATCGCCTTTGGTTAACAGTAAATGATTTCAATTACGAAAACAGTTGGTGTCTGATCCTGATTGGCCAATAAAGGCGTCAAAACGCAGCAGGACGCGATAATCGTTGATGAAAATTCGGACTAACGAGAGCTAACGAATCCTTCCGCAGTTCGGGCCATCTGTACGTTTGTCGATAATGGGGCACCACCCTGCCGGGGCCCTGATCACCCCTAGGGCTGTGAATCTTGAGTAAAAATAATAGAGCCGCACTGCGGGATACCGTGTAACGAGGATCCCGGCGACAAGCCACGCGACTCCGATCGAGCACAATAAAAATCTTGATTTTTTTAATTATTCAGGATCAAATCGAAATCGAAACGCTTCAGATTTCTATATTAAAGTAATTCTAAATTTAATTAAATAATATTCTTCCGAATAAAGAAATCTTTCCAATAAGAAAAGAAGGCAAAAGTTATTTCTACGTACGAAAAATACAAAGAAAAAAAAAAAATCCTTGTCTCGAAAAACGTAAAAATTTGTAAGAGATTGCACACCAAAGAGAAAGGACTTTAGTTGACTGAACTTACCGTGCACCCGCTCGGACAGAACATCCCCCAGGAGATCCCTTATAAGAAACGATTTGTGCTCCTGCATCATTACACTCGGGCGAGAAAAAAAAAAAAAAAAAGAAAAAAAAACTAAAGAAAACGAACTAAGCGGCCGAGGGAAATAACGATTTGATTAGAGATACAAGATCGCGTGTGCCAGCTGAGCTGTGAGTGATCTGTTTCGGCACGAGGACACCTTAGCCACGGACGAGTCGAGTTTCATGCTAACGTGCGGACGCCCGGCGTCGTTGTGCGTTGTCGAGGATCACGAGAGATGACCGGATGTGCCTGTCCGAACCTGGTATCGTCGTCATCCTCCTTGACAAGCGCACGTTGCTGAATACCGAGGTGGGGGTGGAAGAAAAGTTACCACGCGAGTTAGGCCTGGGGTAGCGTCGGACGGAGCCCCGCGCCACCCTGCTCCAATTAATCCGCCCGTTTATTTTGAACGGACTGCCTAATGCTCGCGCGATTTCGCAGCCATTTTGGGGGTGGTAGCGCCATGCCACCCCCGTACTGTGACCGCGGCGACTTGCCGATTGGTCGGGCTAACTCGGCCTTGAGGGGTGGAAGTCGCGACGGCTTAACGCGGATTGGTCGGTGAAAAGCGGCTTGCGCAAAAGGGGGTTGGCTCACAAGCGACAACCCTTATGAAACGTACGGGCGAGGTGCAACGAGAAGCGAAGGGCTCCGTGGATGACGGGGTCTCGGTGCATGCTTCGCGGAAAGCATACGACCTGACGAGCATCAAACTCCGTGAACGAGGAAAGAGGGGTAGAAAGCCATTGGCGAGCGATTACTTCGAAACGAGAGGAATAAATTGGATGTGAAACGTTTCTCCTAGTATAGAGAACACGTCGCTCGCCGCGATATCGAGATTGTTCTCTCAGGCAGCGGTTTAACAGTCGCGTTTTCCCGCGTTCTCTCTGCGTTCCCTTTTCCGGCGTTGGCTTTTCCGCGCTTGCGAGTCAACGTCGAGTGTTGCAAACAAATCTCGCAACGTGATTTTTTTTTTTTAATTTTTCGACACGACTTTCTCTATCTGCTCACGCTGTCTGTTTTCTCTTATCTCTTTTAATTTTCTTCGTTTCTTCTTCCAGTTCTCGTTCCTTCTCTCCTCCTTTTGCTTTTCTGATAACGTATAGAATTGGAAGATCCGAGCCAAACTCTAACGAAGTCAATTTGTTGAACGAAAGATCGGCAAGGAAAATGGTACAAGGTGTAACGCGAATGCCCGAGCATTTGCATAAATACGGTTCTCGCAATTTGTGGAACCCTCGCCGGCCTGCTTCGTCATCTTCTACAGCTAGTATGTGAGCGTAAATATGCATGATGCATAAAACCACCAATCCTCAACACCGTCTATCCCCTTTCACTTCTTTTCCTTCGTTCCCGGCTTTTGCAGCACCCCGTTAGTCTATTCACCATGTCGCTACTTATCTTCCTTCATGCGACTCTATGGTCCCTGGCATACATGCACTGCTTTCTACACTTAAATATTTCATATCCTGCAAAATCATCACACCGAATCTTGCCAATCTAGAATAAAAATACGCGATGTAGCCCAGTCTTTCTAGATTTGCAAATAATCAATCTTCTATTTCCTTTGCACTGCTTAATTAACGATTCTTTGAACCGCTCTTCGATCTTTGTTCTTTTATACGCGTTCACGTCACCGTAAATAATTTCGTAAAAAATCAATTAAAATAACTGTCAGGCCTTTCGAATCGCAACAGCTATTACGATTACATCTTGCTTAAGATCATCAAAAATCTCGTTTTCTTCGTTCGAATGTAACGTGCTCTATAGCAAATAAATAAATAAATATAAATGTATACGACGAAATGAAAGAAGAAGGCCCGGGCGATAGGGTGCTCGTGCAATTTTCGGTAACGTGACATCGCGTGGCGTCGCATAAATGCGACGCGGCGCGACGAGCAGAAAGAAGAAGGAACGTCAGCATGTAGTGTGTAAGTACACAGGGTGATATTTTAATGGGTCGCCTCGTAGCCTCGAGTTTGCGTGCTGGCACCTGTAAGCGGAACCCTCGCCGATGTACTCCTGGAGTTGGACACGATGGGGCGCGTTTGTGAATTCATTAAGATTAACGTATGCAGGGAATTAATTCAAGGGGCAGCAAAGCGGCTGGCCGTCTTCTTCATGTTGCTCGCTGGAAAAGGGCCACGGAATCGTAGAAATGCCGGAATAAATGCATAAAGACTGAATAAATTGAGTGGCATCGAGTTGTGAAAATAAAGATGCTCGTAATAATTTTGATGATTTGAGAAGGCAGTCCTTTGCAGGATAATTTTTAACGCGTCGCCTCCGATTCCTCCGATCGAATTAACCTCTTGCGCTGGAATGAACGAGACGTGCCACGCACGTCGAGAATTTTTTTGCCCCAAATTGCAACATTCTCTCAGTTTCAAGTATATTTAAATGTAACCCAGGCGAAACAAATGACAAGTTTATTACTTCTTAATAATTTCTATCCACTGACGATATCGTACCGACGAGTTCAAAAGAAAAAGAAAGAGACGAATTATCGTATACGGTTCGGTCACTCGTTATGGTCCGCGAACCAGTTGCCAGCGCAAGGGGTTAAAATAATAACTATCCCCGTTTCCGATTTCTCACTTCAAAGGTGTTAATTACCGAATCGAATCGGAATAGATACAAGAGTGTAAGTATATACACGTGGTTAATGAATGTTCGATATAAATTTTAACTGAGTAATTCTTTGTGAAACACAGTGCAACACGGTTGATTGCATCTGTCGCGATTTAGACGACGAAATCAATGGAAATTAGAACGGAGGGTGGTTTCGAATTGCCATGAAATCACCGCCCCTTGTCGGTAATTTGCAATATTTGTTCCCCTATGGGATACGAAATTCCATTTGGATACAGCCACCTCTGGCCACGTTGGATAAATAGGATTCTGAGTGAATATCTCTTTCCGATCTTGCGGGGGGGGATCACAGATTAGACATAGAAACACGTTCAATTACATTGCTTATTATACATCAAGATTGCCTGATAGCTGAATATATATAATTGCTATACAAATATAATATAATATAATATAATATAATACTTTGATTCGTGTAACGCAATAATATAGTATACACTGTGATACAAAAATAATAAAAATTTATTGTAATTTACCAAAAAGTCATAGTTTACTTGTACAAAAGCTCTACATGAAAAGCTCTATATTTAAGATAAATAAAAATAAAAATTGCAAAAAATGTGGAACGCTTCACGATTTTGCGTGTCATCCTTGCGCAGGGGCCATGCTAATCTTCTCTGTATCGTTCCAATTTTAGTATATGTACTGCCGAAGCAAGTACGACTTTACTTATAATTAACTCATATTTATAGAAAAGACTAGAAAACTTATCACTTGCGAGAAACCTTTTATGTGATGTAAGGCTCTGCGCCATCTAGTGGCATATTTATGACTCAATGATTTTTGATACTAACATATTACTTCGATCATCAATATTAGAATCTGTTACAAAAATAAAATTTCATTTTTAAAACCTAATAAAATATAATTAATATTTTTGTAATCTTTCAATATTTGATATTTAATTAAAAGTTTTTTCTTGTATCTCGAGTGTCGATTATTTCTCACACGATCTCAGATATATCGAGACAAAACAAAATCATTATATTTTGTTGAACAAAACATGATCATTATTTCAGTAAAGGTTTTGTTTCTATGGGAGAGGCGTGAATGTAAATCACGAGAATGAGATGAAGCGAAGTTTGATTTTCTACGAAAATTACCGAGTCTGAATGATTATCAATAATGGAGAGTCGCGGTCGTCGATCGAATCGAGACGAATTGGTAAATACGAGGGAAAAAAAAGAAAAAAAAAGAAAACAGTGAAGAGGCTCACGGTAAAGCGATTTAGAACAGTGACAGAGCCGAAGAGCGAGTCGTAGGCCCAGGGTGGAAGTGGTAGAAGAGGATGGGCGGATCAAAACCACGGATGCCGCAAGGGCTTCGAAATCGTTAACAATCGCGGCAAAAGCAAAATCCATTGAGGTGCGACCACGCGTGTGAATATAACTGTCGATCTGAATATTCTGCGCGCAGAGCAGCATCGTCCAGTGCCATATTCGCGAAAAACTAGAGGGAAGCCAGCTCGTTTTCCATTCAGAAAAAAAAGTGTGATCGAAACGAACGTTTCTGTTTACAGTGACTAACAATTCTACTCGACGTGACGTTTCAAATGGATCTGTTTGTCCTCCGACGTGTTTTTATCGCTGAAATCCTTTCTTTCTCCGCTCGAGTTTCTTTTTTTTCTTTTAACTGAAAGAACGGCTGATTCTTAAATTGTTCAACCAATGGAATAAAGACTGACTCGCGTGGTGTTTTCCCCTCGAGAAAAAAAATGTACGCGAATAAAAGAGAACATGAAAGACGCTGGGGTGTATTTGCTCAGTCCATTTCTACAAAACCATGAGTTAAACACAGTAAAAGGGCTCGATGTATACGTTCTCGTTTCTCCTCGAATGTACCAGCATTTATTTATATCCCTCCTTTCAGCCGCTTCTTATCGCTTCTTTCACTAAGAACGCTTCACAACGTTTTTAAGACATCGAGACGCGTTATTTCAGAGATAAAAGGAATAATAAGAATTCCGATAATTTATCCACGTTTCTCTACATTAAACGTGAACACGAATATGAAATGTTTTCTCAGTAAAGAACGACTGTTGCGTGTATGTATACATACATACAATTTGTTACTATTTGCTTCAACTAAATTTTATCTTTTCTAAAATCGTTCACGATCTGTAAATTTAGAAACTGACTAAGAAACATCGCGATTAAGAAACTCGCCAGGCAGAAACAAACAGAAAGTTTGTTGAAGAATATGAGAAAATTTCGGCAGAATTCCATAGCTAGGCATACAGCCTATTGTATTTCTCCTTCCGCGCAGAGTAGGAGACACTCTCGAAGAATGATGGTTATGGGAAAAAGAGTGCTTGAACACGGACGTTGGTCAGGCTCCCGCGGTTCCAATTATGATTGAAAGGCGGCCCTGTTTGTTCGCTTCCTATAACTGCGAACTCTTCAGTGCCTCGTGCAAGGTACTCTTACCCCATGGCCACTTTCGAGTTTCGACGCGTGTGTTTCCATGGCGAATACCGTGATTCCACTGAGCACAAAAATTCTCCTTTTTCCAGTCTGTGTGACAGTAATATTATTTCATTGTTATTTGTTGTTTGACCGCATAAATATGTTAGAAACGAGACGAGTCTTACTTTTATAACACGTTTCAACAATCTTATTTCGCTTTTGGCTGCCAAGTTAGGCTTGTGCGCGAGTTATTTTAAGG